ATTAGGGTTATTTTTAATAATTAAAACAGAAAATGTCAAAAACTAAAATTTCACTTAGCAAGCCAAAGGACGCCATTAATCGTTCCATTGTTTATTTAGTTATTACTATGGCAGTTCTGGCGTCTTAATTAAGCAATTTTGATAAGTGTGTAATTATGGTGTTCCGAAAATGAAAAATTTGAAATTATTAATCTATATATTAAAAATAACAAAAATGCAGATGCGGCAAGACGCGAATATATAGAAATCCACGGGGATGGTGACAATATTAATATACCATCTAGAAAGGCGTTTAAACGTATTTATTTGTCACTTCGGAGAAATAAATACTGAAAAAAAAGAAAAAGGCAAATCATTCCAAACCTGGATGAAGAATTAGACGTCTGTTTATATTATATTGGTAACATATATTTTGAATTTTTTAACTTTGTCCGTTCGTCATAATACGGCTACCACTAAAATATAGAAGAGTCTTTTATTTATTAGTAATAAATTATTGCGTTATAAATACTTGAGTATTTCAAAAATCGCTGCTCATTGAGACGACCATTGTTTTTTGTTGTCTCTGGTCTCCAAAAAAGTTTATTGAGGACCAAGATGGAGTTTTTAAAATACCGAATAATATTTTCCAGATTTTACGGCCTTGCTGTATTTTTTTCTAGTAATAATTATAGTATATTTTTCAGAGAACCCTTTAAACTTCGTACGTGATGGAGTTCGCGATTTGCATAAAAGTTTTGGAAAAATCTGGAGAAATTTAAAGAAAAACAAGTGGCATCCTTTTAAAATGATGAAAGTGCAGCACCTCACGGAGGAAAATAAGGCAAAAAGACTAATATTTTATAGGCTTATGTTAGAAAGACTAGAAATCGACCCTCTATTTTTTCATTAAATTTTATGGACTGACGAATCTTCTTTTACAACAGCAGGCGTACCAAACAAAAAAAATTTACACTATTGGTCTACAGAAAATCCAGAAAAATATTTTGAAGTGAAACGTTCTGGGCGTCGTTCTTTTAATGCTTGATGTGGAATTAAAACAAAATTGTAGGCCCTATGTATATTTTATGAAGGTGCATTATCAGGTGATAGATATCAAAGGATTATATCAGAAGATGTAGAATATAGATAATATGCCACTGAATGAAGCTACCGAAATTATTTGGCAACAAGATGGAGCACCTCCACATAATATTGCTCGAGTAACGGACTATCTCAACAATAAATATAGAGAATGGATTGGAAGACACAGAACAACGATATGGCCAGCTAATAGTCCAGACCTTACGGTTCTAGATAGTTTTTTATGGGGTCATTTAAAAAATAAAATTTATTTTACTAGACAAGAAAACATTAACATAATAAAAGAAGGAATTAGGACTGAAATAAATAATATAAATACCAATCATTCTAACTGGATTAATCAAGCTATAGAAAAACTAAAAAAGGGCTATCGAAAATCACTCAATCAAGACGTCAAAACAAATAATGAAACGACGAATGAAAAAATGACGACCCATGGCCTTATAAGTGAAATTTCAGTTTTTGGCCTTTTCTGCCATATATATTAAAAATATCCATAATGTGTTATATATTTTTGAAGTCAGAGTTTAAAGAGTTATTACATAAGGATATAAAATATAGGTCATTCCATAGGAAAAAAATATATTTTTATCTGTAATATGTTTTTGAATCCCCCTGTATACGTAAACATAACACGAAAAAAAACTTTTAGTTGAACCCTACAACTTTTATATAAAACTTTTTTTTCTAAAATCTAAAGGAAAAAAGTTAGGGGGGATGGACATTTATAATGGATCACCCTGTACATACGAGGTGTGTTAAAAAAATAACGGGAATTGTTAAATTTCGCGGGTTCGGAGGGTCCGGTTGTCATAAAATTTTCTTTATTATGTTGGTATATGCCCCCGAAGTATGATACAAACTTTAGCTGTTTTCATTGTTTACTTTGTCTGTGGCAGCCAGCCGCTAAGGTTAGACGTGTTTTTATGAACTCGGCGATTTTCGTTCGTTAAAAGAAATGGATCAAAGAATTTGTATTCAATTTTGCTTAAAAAATTAAATAAATTCTGTGAAATGTTAACAAAGGCCTATAGTGAGTCTGCTATAAGTAAAACAAGAATTTACAAGTGGTATAAGAGTTTCCAAGATGGCCGTGAAGACGTTAAAGATGACGAACGCCCCGAACGCACAAGCACATTAACAACCGATAAAAACATGGAAAAAGTGGAAGAAATGGTTATAAACCATCAGAGAAGTCGCTGATGATGTTGGTATATCGATTGGCTCATCCCATGAAATTTTTTCGAATGTTTTGGGTATGAAACGCGTGGCAGCAAAATTTGTTCTAAAATTGTTAAATTTTGAACAACATTTTTGACCAAAAACAATACTGTAATGATGCCCCAGCCTCCATATTCGCCAGACAAGCCTCTGTCTGACTTCTTCCTATTCCCAAAAATATAGAGAACCTTAAAGGGCCGTCGTTTTGCAAGCATAGATGACATTAAAAGCGCATCGCTGAAAGAACTAAAGGCTATCCCAAAGATCGAGTTTTAGAAGTGTTTCGAGTATTGGAAGAAGAGCTGGCACATGTGCATAATATCCAATGGGGACTATTTTGAAGGCGACAACATTAATGTAGACGAATAAATAAATATTTTTTTCAAAAATAGAAAATTCCCGATATCTTCTAAACACACCTCGTATATACCAAGAATGAACTTTTGGACAATTTTCATATTTGATATGTTTCCAAACAACCGTTATAGCTGACAATATTTTTAAACTCAAATAAAAACTACAAATTGTATTTTTTCTAATTAATTCAGGTTGAGGGTAAAATAATCAAAACTTGCTAATTGATATAAAACAAATATTTATTGTATTTAAACAAATAGGTGCTAAAAACTAAAATTAAATAATATGGTTTCCTCATAAATATTAAAATAAATGTTTTCTCCTTAATTTTTATTTTATTTATTTTTATTTCAAAATTCAAACATGTTTGACTAAAGCTACCTGCATTGTTTTGGAAATGTAGGAAATCTTCATACAAACAAAATAAATCAAAACAAACAAAACATATTATGTACATTTCGTTTTACAACGTTATTATTTTATGAAAAATGCTTTGTTCATTTGGAATGAAATAAGGCTTTGATGTTGTTCTATAAAGAATAATTTAACCACAGAATTCTTGAGAGGTTACAACCGTACTACAGTATATAAAAAATATTTTTTTGAAATTTATTTACGAATGTTTTTATTTAATCAGTATTTTCTACTTTAATATATTGAGTGTTATAACACTGGTTGCTCAATTAGCTCTTGTTTTCAAGATATTACTAAAAAAAACTTTTTTTTTACATGCAAACATTAAAATTCTTATAAACTGATCGAAAAAAGTTAAGCATATTTTTGAACAAAGTTGAAATCAAACTGGATACCGACTGATACCTAAAATGCGTTTTTTCGACTTCGTTCTTTTTTGTCTAAGATTCTTTCATTTTTACGTTTTTATTACCAAATATTAAAATAAAGTATACAGGGCGTATAAAATTGTATCGTTAAATTTATGTTTTGGTCACAGGCGAAATAATCGATCCACACAAATTTTCGATGAATTTCAATCGCAAATAACTTTTTTATTTGATGTCTGATTTAAACGAATATTAAAGAATATTGTAGATAAATTAATGTACAATCACTCACATTTTAAAAAATTACTATTAAAAATAGATGTACGTTTATAATATACAGGTTTAAACAAAAAGATGTTTTTTACCATAAGTTTAAGACACTCTAAAGAGTGGCAAAACCGTATATTGAAACAAGCTTTTCCAATCCAAATAAAAAAGAGTTTTTTTTTAAGTATTTTTAACTTTCTTAATAAAATTCTTGCAATATTTTTTTACTTTTAAACTTGTTAAAATCTATTTTTGATGTGAATAAATTAAATGCAATTGGGTCGCATAAAATGTTTGCTTTTATTTTTACCCAGTTTTTTGCGCCAATTATGCTGCTCTCTAAGCGCTTTAACCTACTAACGAATGCCGTTTGCAACTTTACAGGTAAACACGCTTAAATAATATTTACCTATGGTTTGATTCCTTTTTGTTGATAAATTTCGATGTTTTAGGTACGCGATACGAAGTTTAAATTAATCAAACTTCACAGTAATCCTTTTTTAAACAATTGAAAACCTTGGCCATAGGTGGGGATTAGTCCGCGTTTAAACAAAATAAAGTGTGATAATTATGTACAACTGATTGTGTTTAATTTTATTTTAGAATTATTACTCTTTGTAATATTGGGTACTTTACTACTTTTAGAACAAATAGATACTGTTCATTAACATGCTTATTGTATTAACAAGCTTTGCTTTGTTATACAAAATCTGACATTTTGTTATTCAATCAGTCTTATTTCGCATTTGTCAAGGTGTGTATTAAGTAAATAAACAACCTAATTAATTTAATCTTATTTGTATACAATAAATTTTTAATTTACAAGCTATTGTTTACATTAATCCCTAAATTAAATAACCTACACTGAAAGAAATATATGTTTGTTTTAGCAAATGTATGTGGTTCACATATGGACTACCACATACATTGCTAAAACAAACATATATTATATTTAGTTTTAACATAATATGTTAAAACTAAATATAAAAATGGTTAAGGTAAATATATTTTATGTTTCATATATAGACTACCACATACATTGCTAAAACAAACATATATTTCTTTCAGTGTAATTACAAATATTATTTTTGCATAATTAGTCATTTTAAATGAAAACGTTCAATCGGTGCAAATCTGAAATTGTGTCATCTTCATGCCATTTTTTGTTGAGCTACAACTCTTTACTACTTTTAAATGTAATAAAGATAAAAAAGTAATATTTTTATTAAAAACGTGAATACGAGGTGTGTTCAGAAAATATCGGGAATTTTTTATTTTTTTATGTTTCAGGATATCACTATATATTTTATGCAACGTAATAAACGCTAACTCTCACAAGAAAATCTGCAATTTCATAGAAGACAAACTAAAGTGTTCGGATCATCTACCAAACGTACAGTACCCCAGCAAAGCGAAAAACTTGGAACTCAACAACATAAAATGGGTATTGGATTTCAAAGATTTATTCGAAAAATTCCCGAACGTTACAAATGTAACAATTTATTCCGGATCCATTGAAAAGTTAGTGCCACCAAACAGTAATACCAAATTGGAGACATTACAACTAAAAAATTTAAGGATAAAACAGATTTCCGACGATTTCTTCCTTAACTTTACTGGACTGAAAACTTTAAACCTCGAAGGAAACCTTTTGGACGGGTTTGGAGAAAATGTTACGTTTGGAAATATATCGGAATTGTATTTATCAAGTATGTATTAAAAGCAACATTTATTTTTTATGAAGAGTGGAGAATTCGAACTTTGATTAAAAACACAGTATTTAGTTTAGTTGACCAGTTTTTGAATTTATTCCAATAAAGTTTTTTAAATGTATGCCAATGTGCAAATTTGTCCAACCATTTTTAAAATTTAAACCCCTGTGCGAATTTTTCTTAAAAAAATTTAAATGTATGCCAATGTGCGAATTTGTCCTACCATTTTTGAAATTTATCCTACTGTGCAAGTAATTTTTATTTTTTATGAAGAGTGTCAAGAAATCGATTTTTGATTAAAAACACAGTATTTAGTATTTTTTGAATTTATTCCAATAAAGTTTTAAAAATGTATGCCAATAAGCGAATTTGTCCAACCATTTTTAAAATTTATCCCACTGTGCAAATTTTTCTTAAAAAAATTTAAATATATTACAATGTGCGAATTTTTCCTACCATTTTTTAATTTATCCTCCTGTGCGTTTTTTTTTCCTAAAAATTTTTAAATTCAAGTCGATGTTCAAATTTGTCCTACTGGTTTTTAAATGTATGCCACTATGCGAATTTGTCCTACCATTTTTAAAATTTATCCCACTGTGCGATTTTTTTCTAAAAAAATTAAATTCATACCAATGTGCAAATTTGTCCTACTGGTTTTTAAATGTATCCCACAGTGCGAATTCGTCCTACCATTTTTTAAATTTATAAGGGCAGTTTTTAATTATTAATTTTGTTCGAATTTGTTGGGCAGCCCAAAACATTAATTTTAATGTGTAGTTAATGTAGTTAATAACCCGGTTTAAAAAATTAAATGTAAGGGTAGCTTTTGATCCAAAACGTCAATAATTGTATTCAAATACTGTGCTTTTAAAATTACATTTCCTTTCGAGACTAATCATTTTTTTTTCTGTAGATAATAAATGGAATTGTACCAAAAACCTTACCTGGGCTTTGAAGTACGCCAATATCATAAAAAATCAAGCAGGGTTGTTTTGTGAATTCGAGCCTTATCCAAGAAAACCACTGTTCCCAATTGCCCGATTTTTAGAGGTATAAAAACATCATAAAACCTTTACAGAACCTAAATATTTTTTCCCTAGGATTTGGAAGTCGAATGTCCAAATACTTGCAACTGTGCGTTGCCCAAGGTCGTCCAAAACCCCAACTCGACCAGGTGGGAGCCTCTAATACATGTAAATTGTTCTGGAAGGGGTCTAAAAGGGTTACCACATAACATACCAAATGAAACCATGGTGTTGCATCTGGAAAATAACGAAATATCCAATCTGGACCTGCTAAGAACTTCGCGGTTGTACAGAAGTGTCACCGACTTATTTTTGGACAATAACACTGTAGATAGTATAGATGATTTGGAAGGATCCTATTGGCTGTCTCACTTTAGAGTGCTGTCTTTGAGTGGAAATCGACTTACAGAGGTGTTTTTGACTTGAGATCCTATGTTGTATCAAAACTCTTCCTAACAACAGGGTATGCTATTTGTTCCACTTTAACTGTTCCTTTTCCAATTTTTATAAGTTCTTTATTAAATTGTCCCCAAATATAATGACAAATGGCATACTCTGATAATGGAGTTTTGATGAAAAATCTTGTAAATTAACTGGTATTTTTTAAAAACATTTTTTAACGTCTTAGCTTCCTTCGTATGCGTTGGATAACGCCCTAACCAACAACCCTAACGCTTTTGCGGTCCAGGTGAGTCTTGGTGGGAATCCCTGGCGATGCGACTGTATTTTCACGCCAGGTTTTCAAGAGTTGCTTCAAAAATACGCTACTTATGTCAAGGATCTAAGGGAAATCAAGTGTTCCTACGTAGAGGGAGATGAAAATTCACTATTACCTGTAAGTAAAGGCAAAACTTAGAAAAACGATTATTAAACGTGGCAAGCCTTTTTAGATTCTGGATATTTCCAGAAGTTCTGTATGTCGTTACCCGAATGAATATTCGGTGCAGGAAGCCCTGGATTTGCTTAACGCTGTTCTAGCCAGCCTTATTGTTTTTGTGTTGGGAAAATTAGCGTACGATTATTATCATTTCAAAAAAACTGGAAAGCTGCCCTGGATAGTTACCAAAATACCTTAACCAAATACTAGTGATGTAAATATGTACATAATATTAAATTATTTTTGAAATTGAACGTGCGTTTTATTGTTATTGGATTCTTATTGTTTTTTATAATTGGTTTTAATCCAATTAATTTTATCGGTGCGTATATAAATAGAAGAAAGTGGTTTCAAGATTAAGTCAAAATGTGGAAAATATTTTTTTTGGTTTCAATTGGCGTCGTCCTAGGTAATATATGTAAAAAACGTATTTTTTCTTCAATTATTTTTTTATTTTAGGTACACCCTTTGCTAACAGTGAAAATAGTAAGTGATTTTTTATTTGTCATTAATTAAAAAAGTAAACCAAAGGTATCTGCTAACTATTGCTAGCATTCTAACTCCGTTATTATTGGGGCTATAGCTCCAATCATTATCATGTATACGAGGTGTGTTCAGAAAATATCGGGAATTTTCTTTTTTTGAAACAAATATTTATTTATTCGTCTACATTAATGTTGTCGCCTTCAAAATAGTCCGCATTGGATATTATGCACATTAGGGTGGGCCGAAAATCCGCTTTTTTAGAATTTCGTTTAGTAATAGCAAAAATTTTGTTTATTATGTTGTAAACAAATTTTGTGTAAAAGATTAAATTTTTCGATCAACATCCTAGGCTCGCCCAACGCAATTAAAGATCAAAATGTTCAAAAAATGTTGATACTAAAATCGGGTTTATTTCTGAAACTATCCATCTGAAGTAATTTTGTGTAAGGACCTTTTTTGTAGAGCATAAAATTTCCGATCGAAATAAGTTAGGAAATTTTTTTTTTTAACATTTTGATCTTTAGTTGCGTTGCAACGCGTTGGGCGAGCCTAGGATGATGATCGAAAATTTTAATCTTTTACACAATTTTTTTTTACAACAAATTTCTGAAACTATCCATCTGAAGTAATTTTGTGTAGAGCATAAAATTTCCGATCAAAATAAGTTAAGAAAAATTTTTTTTTGAACATTTTGATCTTTAATTGCGTTGGGCGAGCCTAGGATGTTGATCGAAAATTTTAATCTTTACACATTTTTTTTTTTACAACATAATGAACAAAATTTTTGCTATTACTAAACGAAATTCTAAAAAAGCGGATTTTCGGCCCACCCTAATGCACATGTGCCAGCTCTTCTTCCAATACTCGAAACACTTCTAAAACTCGATCTTTGGGATAGCCTTTAGTTCTTTCAGCGATGCGCTTTTAATGTCATCTATGCTTGCAAAACGACGGCCCTTTAAGGTTCTCTTTATTTTTGGGAATAGGAAAAAGTCAGATAGAGGCATGCCTGGCGAATAAGGAGGCTGGGGCATCATTACAGTATTGTTTTTGGCCAAAAATTTTGTTCAAAATTTAACAATTTTAGAAGAAATTTTGCTGCCACGCGTTTCTTACCCAAAACATTCGAAAAAATTTCATGGGATGAGCCAATCGATATACCAACATCATCAGCGACTTCTCTGATGGTTTATAACCATTTATTCCACTTTTTCCATGTTTTTATCGGTTGTTAATGTGCTTGTGCGTTCGGGGCGTTCGTCATCTTCAACGTCTTCACGGCCATCTTGGAAACTCTTATACCACTTGTAAACTCTTGTTTTACTTATAGCAGACTCACTATAGGCCTTTGTTAACATTTCACAGAAATTATTTCATTTTTTAAGCAAAATTGGATACAAATTCTTTGATCCATTTCTTTTAACGAACGAAAAATCGCCGAGCTCATAAAACACGTCTAACCTTAGCGGCTGCCACAGACAAAGTAAACAATGAAAACAGCTAAAGTTTTTATCATACTTCGGGGGCATGTATACCAACATAAAAAAGAAAATTTTATGACAACCGGACCATCTGAACTCGCGATATTTAACAATTCCCGTTATTATCTGAACACACCGTATACATGATAATAATTTAGTTAATTTTTTTTTTCAATAATACGTACAATATTACATTGTGTTGGACAAGTTAAAATTAAAGAAGCACAAGCTTGCTTAAAACAAAAAGAAGAAATCATAAACAGAATATTAATTAATTTTTGAAAAAATCACTATAGTGCTATAACTTATATCATATAAGTAAATAAAATGTTTGAGACAATAGATATAATTTTAGTTGGTATTTAAAAATTCTAACATTTCCTAAATCTATTAAGTAGGTAACCTATACAATATTTTTGGCCCTATGAAATAAGGTGCATCGATGGGCGTGTACATTCTTACGTCTCTAGCTAGATTTGCCAAGCTTTGCCAAGTTTACATTCCCTTTGTCTATAGCATATATAGCTATAGCATGAAACTGTATAATTTGTGTTTTACTTGATTTAAAATGGAAAAACCAGAAAAACAATTCGGGTTTCCAAAATGTTTACAAAAAAATGGGACACCCTGTTGATGATTGATAAAATAATCAAATAATTATTTTATTTTAACAACAATCAGAGATTTCAAGTGCATTTTAATTATTTATTTTTAAGTTTATGCTTTGTGGTTATGCAGTAATAATTTTTTGTCCCAAATTAAATTGTCTTTCAAAATATTTAAAAATATACAGGGTGATTCATTTAAGAAAATGTTATTTTCGTGAAAATCCGACGTTCAATTGTTGTTCATATCATCATCATATCATCATCATATATTATATCGCGAGAACTATGAATTTAATCGGTTAAACAAATAAGTCGTCTAAATTTAAACAGCATTATTAAAAGCGTTGATTAAGAATACCATTATATTATAGGTATATAATATTATGTTGCCATGAATTCGTAGGTATGTTTTGTTGTTTAAAATGCAGTTGTCGGCGTTTTTTAGAGAACTCATACATAAAAATGGTTGATTTGAAGTTTTTTTTTGTGCAAAAATTATTTTTTACTAATTTCTTAAAAATGTCCAAACTTAAAAATAAATTATATTAGGTAAAGTTATCACATTCTGCACCAACAAATGTACTTACCGAATTGGATCCTTTGGCAAAACATGAAAATGCAACGATTTAGTTCTTGAATTTTATTTACAATTAAAAACACAATAATTCATTAATCCCTTTGATAAAATACACACACTAAGTAACTATATAAGCATTTAAGCGTTGAGTTTCTTAATCAATGCTTTAAGGAATAATCAATCGAAATCGAGTACTAAAAAAGTTTTTTAATTTTTTCCTTGCAACGTAAAACACAAATAACGTGCGCGATTTAGCTGTGTAATTGAACAAAATTTGTCGAGTAAGACTTCTGCCTTCCTCTCTTTTGTGAAAAAACTACCTATTTATTTAAAAATGATGTATACCTAATCTGTGCTTTAAATGTATTGTTGACAATTCTTAAATTCACGCAATGCTATCGAAGTCCACCAGATGGCGCGCGCGTTGCTAAAACACGATACTTCTTTATCGTATGTAATAATTAATATTTAATTGTTATTTCGCAAACTAGATAACTTATTTTTTATTGTTTTTTTTTAATGTACGTTAAAACTTGTAAATAACACCATAAAATCGTAAACAAAAATCCAATATGGAGGCTAAAATTTAATCGCTGTTAATAATTTAATCGCTTATCAAAACAAAATTTATTCGAAAATTCAAGGCTTTTGATTGGTTCCTTTTATAATGAGGGAAATAGTCAGAAGAAAAAATGCCACAACTTTGTAGCTCCAATAATAACGAAGTTGGCAATAGTGAAAAGATAACTTTGGACACCCTGTATACAAGGTGTCCAGAAAAAACAAAATTAAGTAAATGATGCATTTATTTTTTTATTTTGTATTTCGATCGGTATTTGCTTTTTCCCAGTGTTTTTCAAATATTTTTTGTACAGGAATATGGATAATCAACAAAAGTTATCAATGGTAACAAAGTACTAACCGATTTTGTTTGCTTATAGTTTACTTTGGCGTAAAGTATCACCCCACAAGGGATAAAAATTTATTTGATGATACCCTGTATAGAATCACAGAAAACAATATCTAACACAGTTTAACAATTATTTCTAGATAAAATCCCGCAAGATTATAAGCCCAACCCACCTCAAGGTATGTATCTAATCATGTTTCTAAAACATTTTATCTATTTTGCGTTCATAATGACTTCATTATAACACCGCTTTCGCTGCTGTAATGAGATACTTTATCCCACCCAATATTTTGATTTTATAGGTTGGCTATTCTTTAAACAGCATAATATTTTGCATATTGGTTATAATATTTTTATGATTTTTTTAGTACTTACGAGACTTTTCTGGCAATAAATTTTGTTTAACACCAAAGAAAATCCTTTTTTTCTTCTTTAACATTAACAGCCGCTTATTGTAAATAAGTAAATTAAGGACGGCATGGCGAATCGATTTTGACATTAACTGTCAAAACAATGACTGTGATACCAACTATTTAAAGTAAAATGCGACCAAATTAAATTTAAGGTATAAGGTTAATTTTTTTTATAGAACTTTTGCAAAATAGATAAAATAGCTTAAAGAACTCATGTCATAAGACCTTTTGCGACAAAATGACGTCTTATGACATTAGTTCTTCAATATACTATTACAATTCTTTTCTATTTTAAAATAAAAAACATATTTTTTAATAAAATTTTGTTTTAGAGTCCAAGGGACTGTTTCCAGACATCCAGGGAATGATAACAGATACCATATTAGACTTGGTTCAAACTACGCTGAATACTGCTTTAGAACAAGTGGCTCCTGGAAAAAACCTTGGTTTGCATACCATAAATTTGGGATCCATTATTGTGTACAGCGGTTTTCTTCAAAAATTGTCCAAAATAATTATAAAACATATTCTTGAAGATGTTCCTCAACTCGTCCCCTATGCGAGAAAATTGGTTGAAATTCTTTACCAAGATTTGGAAGAATTGGAGGAACCCAAAGAAAAATTAATTGGAGGTGTCACTGAATACGCTAGTAACTATTTAATTAATTTATGAATTATAAATTTATATTAAAGAGCATATAAACTAAAAATCGTTTTTTTATTTCCTACACTCCCATAAAATTAATTAATTAATAAATAAAGTAGCAGTTTATACGACTCAGTCACCAATATTGGAGGAGATCGGTAAACTCCTTACTGTTCAAGATGCTTAGGCAAATTTTGGGACATGTCAATGAATAAATAAAACAAACTGTTTTTTTACATTATTATTTATTTATTTAATCTCGAAAATCACATCGCTATTTCTCACATCTTCAGCATTTCGTTTTTACCAGGTATTAATTAGCATTCATTAAATATATAGCTAAAAAAAATTGTAAATTAAAAACATGTTACTGTAAAAATCCTAAACATCTTACCATCTTAAGGCGGAAGTTTTTTCTACAAAAAAAACAAAAATTAGTTTTTTTTATTTTATAACTTATTTAAGTACTTACCATGGTCTTGGTTAATGTGGTGTGGAGAATCTAATAAAAACAATATTAGTATTTAAAATTAGTAAAAATGTAATGCTTCAATAAGTCCTTGCCCAGCTTTTCGCAACATTTTCTATCCGTCAAAAAATAAGAGATTTATAGTGGATGACAAACTTTTTTGCAACATATTTGATTTTGCAAGGACTTATTGACGCACCCTCGTATTAAAAAACTTACGCTTTTTCTTCAAGAAATCTTCGTGTTCTGCATTAAAAATAAATAGTTAAAAAAATATTAAATATAATAATTATTTTAACACTCACTCTTCAAAATATTTTGCATCTCAACTAAAAAGTTAAATATTAGATATATTCATATTAAAATGTATCATGTAACTTACGTAGAAAACGTTCATCGTCATCGTCAACATCACCTAAAAACAAAATATAATTAAATGAAATAAAAAAAATAATATTTTGACTTATACCTGACAGATCTTTGTTTGATTTTGTTGTGGTATTCTCACTGTGTGTTGTTAAGTCAGAACCAGCTGAAGTGTATCCGTCAGTATTTGTGCTGCTTGGTGTTGCCAAGTCGTAGCCGGTAGAACCTTGTTGAGTTGAATTTGTTGTGTCCTGATTATTGTTATCATTTACAGTGCTGGTTATTGCTGTGTTTAAATCAATATCTTTCCAACCAACTGTGAATCCATCAGTATTTGTGCTGCTTGGTGTTGTTAAGTCGTAGCCGATAGAACCTTGCTGAGTCGAAGTAGTTGTGTCCTGATTATGGATATCACCTTTAGTGCTGGATATTGTTGGGCTTAAAATTATATCTGACAATGTAGCTGTGGTTTCATAAGTATTTGTGCTGCTTGGTGTTGTTAAGTCAGAAATGGTAGAACCTTCCTGAGTCGAAGTAGTTGTGTCCTGATTATGGATATCATCTTCAGTGCTGGATATTGTTGAGCCCAAATTCATATCTGACAATGTAGCTGTGGTTTCATAAGTATTTGTGCTGCTTGGTGTTGTTAAGTCAGAAATGGTAGAACCTTCCTGAGTCGAAGTAGTTGTGTCCTGATTATGGATATCATCTTCAGTGCTGGATATTGTTGAGCCCAAATTCATATCTGACAATGTAGCTGTGGTTTCATAAGTATTTGTGCTGCTTGGTGTTGTTAAGTCAGAAATGGTAGAACCTTCCTGAGTCGAAGTAGTTGTGTCCTGATTATGAATATCATCTTCAGTGCTGGATATTGTTGAGCCTAAATTCATATCTGACAGAGTAGCTGTGGTTTCATAAGTATTTGTGCTGCTTGGTGTTGTTAAGTCAGAAATGGTAGAACCTTGCTGAGTCGAAGTAGTTGTGTCCTGATTATGGATTTTATCTTTAGTGCTGGATATTGTTGGGCTTAAAATGATATCTGACAATGTAGCTGTGGTTTCATAAGTATTTGTGCTGCTTGGTGTTGTTAAGTCAGAAATGGTCGAACCTTCCTGAGTCGAAGTAGTTGTGTCCTGATTATGGATATCATCTTTAGTGCTGGATATTGTTGAGCCCAAATTCAAATCTGTCCAACTAACTGTGAATCCATCAGAATTTGTGCTGCTTGATGTTGTTAAGTCGTAGCCGATAGAACCTTGCTGAGTCGAAGTAGTTGTGTCCTGATTATGGATATCACCTTTAGTGATGGATATTGTTGGGCTTAAAATTATATCTGACAATGTAGCTGTGGTTTCATAAGTATTTGTGCTGCTTGGTGTTGTTAAGTCAGAAATGGTGGAACCTTCCTGAGTCGAAGTAGTTGTGTCCTGATTATGGATATCATCTTTAGTGCTGGATATTGTTGAGCCCAAATTCAAATCTGTCCAACTAACTGTGAATCCATCAGAATTTGTGCTGCTTGATGTTGTTAAGTCGTAGCCGGTAGAACCTTGCTGAGTCGAAGTAGTTGTGTCCTGATTATGGATTTTATCTTTAGTGCTGGATATTGTTGGGCTTAAAATTATATCTGACAATGTAGCTGTGGTTTCATAATTATTTGTGCTGCTTGGTGTTGTTAAGTCAGAAATGGTAGAACCTTGCTGAGTCGAAGTAGTTGGGTCCTGTTTATGGATATCATCTTCAGTGCTGGATAATGTTGAGCCCAAATTCATATCTGACAATGTAGCTGTGGTTTTATAAGTATTTGTGCTGCTTGGTGTTGTTAAGTCAGAAATGGTAGAACCTTCCTGAGTCGAAGTAGTTGTGTCCTGATTATGAATATCATCTTCAGTGCTGGATAATGTTGAGCCCAAATTCATATCTGACAATGTAGCTGTGGTTTTATAAGTATTTGTGCTGCTTGGTGTTGTTAAGTCCGAACTGCTAAAACCTTGCTGAGTCGAAGTAGTTGGGTCCTGATTATTGATATCATCTTCAGTGCTGGATATTGTGGAGCCTAAATTCATATCTGACAGAGTAGCTGTGGTTTCATATGTATTTGTGCTGCTTGGTGTTGTTAAGTCAGAAATGGTAGAACCTTGCTGAGTCGAAGTAGTTGGGTCCTGTTTATGGATATCATCTTCAGTGCTGGATATTGTTGAGCCCAAATTCATATCTGTCCAACCAACTGTGAATCCATCAGTATTTGTGCTGCTTGTTGTTGTTAAGTCGTAGCCGGTAGAACCTTGCTGAGTCGAAGTAGTTGTGTCCTGATTATGGATTTTATCTTTAGTGCTGGATATTGTTGGGCTTAAAATTATATCTGACAATGTAGCTGTGGTTTCATAAGTATTTGTGCTGCTTGGTGTTGTTAAGTCCGAACTGCTAGAACCTTGCTGAGTCGAAGTAGTTGGGTCCTGATTATTGATATCATCTTCAGTGCTGGATATTGTTGAGCCTAAATTCATATCTGACAATGTAGCTGTGGTTTCATAAGTATTTGTGCTGCTTGGTGTTGTTAAGTCCGAACTGCTAGAACCTTGCTGAGTCGAAGTAGTTGTGTCCTGATTATGAATATCATCTTCAGTGCTGGATATTGTTGAGCCCAAATTCATATCTGACAATGTAGCTGTGGTTTCATAAGTATTTGTGCTGCTTGGTGTTGTTAAGTCCGAACTGCTAGAACCTTGCTGAGTCGAAGTAGTTGGGTCCTGATTATTGATATCATCTTCAGTGCTGGATATTGTTGAGCCTAAATTCATATCTGACAATGTAGCTGTGGTTTCATAAGTATTTGTGCTGCTTGGTGTTGTTAAGTCCGAACTGCTAGAACCTTGCTGAGTCGAAGTAGTTGGGTCCTGATTATTGATATCATCTTCAGTGCTGGATATTGTTGAGCCTAAATTCATATCTGACAGAGTAGCTGTGGTTTCATAAGTATTTGTGCTGCTTGGTGTTGTTAAGTCAGAAATGGTAGAACCTTGCTGAGTCGAAGTAGTTGGGTCCTGATTATTGATATCATCTTCAGTGCTGGATATTGTTGAGCCTAAATTCATATCTGACAGAGTAGCTGTGGTTTCATAAGTATTTGTGCTGCTTGGTGTTGTTAAGTCAGAAATGGTAGAACCTTGCTGAGTCGAAGTAGTTGGGTCCTGATTATGGATAACATCTTCAGTGCTGGATATTGTTGAGCCTAAATTCATATCTGACAGAGTAGCTGTGGTTTCATAAGTATTTGTGCTGCTTGGTGTTGTTAAGTCAGAACTGGTAGAACCTTGCTGTGTCGAAGTAGTTGTGTCCTGATTATTGATATCATCTAAAGTGCTGGATATTGTTGAGCCTAAATTCATATCTGACAATGTAGCTGTGGTTTCATAAGTATTTGTGCTGCTTGGTGTTGTTAAGTCCGAACTGCTAGAACCTTGCTGAGTCGAAGTAGTTGGGTCCTGATTATTGATATCATCTTCAGTGCTGGATATTGTTGAGCCTAAATTCATATCTGACAATGTAGCTGTGGTTTCATAAGTATTTGTGCTGCTTGGTGTTGTTAAGTCCGAACTGCTAGAACCTTGCTGAGTCGAAGTAGTTGTGTCCTGATTATTGATATCATCTTCAGTGCTGGATATTGTTGAGCCCAAATTCATATCTGACAATGTAGCTGTGGTTTCATAAGTATTTGTGCTGCTTGGTGTTGTTAAGTCGGAAATGGTAGAAACTTGCTGAGTCGAAGTAGTTGGGTCCTGATTATTGATATCATCTTCAGTGCTGGATATTGTTGAGCCTAAATTCATATCTGACAGAGTAGCTGTGGTTTCATAAGTATTTGTGCTGCTTGGTGTTGTTAAGTCAGAACTGGTAGAACCTTGCTGTGTCGAAGTAGTTGTGTCCTGATTATTGATATCATCTTCAGTGCTGGATATTGTTGAGCCTAAATTCATATCTGACAATGTAGCTGTGGTTTCATAAGTATTTGTGCTGCTTGGTGTTGTTAAGTCCGAACTGCTAGAACCTTGCTGAGTCGAAGTAGTTGGGTCCTGATTATTGATATCATCTTCAGTGCTGGATATTGTTGAGCCTAAATTCATATCTGACAATGTAGCTGTGGTTTCATAAGTATTTGTGCTGCTTGGTGTTGTTAAGTCCGAACTGCTAGAACCTTGCTGAGTCGAAGTAGTTGTGTCCTGATTATGGATATCATCTTCAGTGCTGGATATTGTTGAGCCCAAATTCATATCTGACAATGTAGCTGTGGTTTCATAAGTATTTGTGCTGCTTGGTGTTGTTAAGTCAGAAATGGTAGAACCTTCCTGAGTCGAAGTAGTTGTGTCCTGATTATGAATATCATCTTCAGTGCTGGATATTGTTGAGCCCAAATTCATATCTGACAATGTAGCTGTGGTTTCATAAGTATTTGTGCTGCTTGGTGTTGTTAAGTCAGAAATGGTAGAACCTTCCTGAGTCGAAGTAGTTGTGTCCTGATTATGGATATCATCTTCAGTGCTGGATATTGTTGAGCCCAAATTCATATCTGACAATGTAGCTGTGGTTTCATAAGTATTTGTGCTGCTTGGTGTTGTTAAGTCAGAAATGGTAGAACCTTCCTGAGTCGAAGTAGTTGTGTCCTGATTATGAATATCATCTTCAGTGCTGGATATTGTTGGGCCCAAATTCATATCTGACAATGTAGCTGTGGTTTCATAAGTATTTGTGCTGCTTGGTGTTGTTAAGTCCGAACTGCTAGAACCTTGCTGAGTCGAAGTAGTTGGGTCCTGATTATTGATATCATCTTCAGTGCTGGATATTGTTGAGCCTAAATTCATATCTGACAGAGTAGCTGTGGTTTCATAAGTATTTGTGCTGCTTGGTGTTGTTATGTCAGAAATGGTAGAACCTTCCTGAGTCGAAGTAGTTGTGTCCTGATTATGAATATCATCTTCAGTGCTGGATATTGTTGAGCCTAAATTCATATCTGACAGAGTAGCTGTGGTTTCATAAGTATTTGTGCTGCTTGGTGTTGTTAAGTCCAAACTGCTAGAACCTTGCTGAGTCGAAGTAGTTGGGTCCTGATTATTGATATCATCTCCAGTGCTGGATATTGTTGAGCCTAAATTCATATCTGACAGAGTAGCTGTGGTTTCATAAGTATTTGTGCTGCTTGGTGTTGTTAAGTCAGAAATGGTAGAACCTTCCTGAGTCGAAGTAGTTGTGTCCTGATTATGAATATCATCTTCAGTGCTGGATATTGTTGAGCCCAAATTCATATCTGACAATGTAGCTGTGGTTTCATAAGTATTTGTGCTGCTTGGTGTTGTTAAGTCCGAACTGCTAGAACCTTGCTGAGTCGAAGTAGTTGGGTCCTGATTATTGATATCATCTTCAGTGCTGGATATTGTTGAGCCTAAATTCATATCTGACAGAGTAGCTGTGGTTTCATAAGTATTTGTGCTGCTTGGTGTTGTTAAGTCAGAAATGGTAGAACCTTCCTGAGTCGAAGTAGTTGTGTCCTGATTATGAATATCATCTTCAGTGCTGGATATTGTTGAGCCCAAATTCATATCTGACAATGTAGCTGTGGTTTCATAAGTATTTGTGCTGCTTGGTGTTGTTAAGTCCGAACTGCTAGAACCTTGCTGAGTCGAAGTAGTTGGGTCCTGATTATTGATATCATCTTCAGTGCTGGATATTGTTGAGTCCAAATTCATATCTGACAATGTAGCTGTGGTTTCATAAGTATTTGTGCTGCTTGGTGTTGTTAAGTCCGAACTGCTAGAACCTTGCTGAGTCGAAGTAGTTGGGTCCCGATTATTGATATCATCTTCAGTGCTGGATATTGTTGAGCCTAAATTCATATCTGACAGAGTAGCTGTGGTTTCATAAGTATTTGTGCTGCTTGGTGTTGTTAAGTCAGAAATGGTAGAACCTTCCTGAGTCGAAGTAGTTGTGTCCTGATTATGAATATCATCTTCAGTGCTGGATATTGTTGAGCCCAAATTCATATCTGACAATGTAGCTGTGGTTTCATAGGTATTTGTGCTGCTTGGTGTTGTTAAGTCCGAACTGCTAGAACCTTGCTGAGTCGAAGTAGTTGGGTCCTGATTATTGATATCATCTTCAGTGCTGGATATTGTTGAGCCTAAATTCATATCTGACAGAGTAGCTGTGGTTTCATAAGTATTTGTGCTGCTTGGTGTTGTTAAGTCAGAAATGGTAGAACCTTGCTGAGTCGAAGTAGTTGGGTCCTGATTATGGATAACATCTTCAGTGCTGGATATTGTTGAGCCTAAATTCATATCTGACAGAGTAGCTGTGGTTTCATAAGTATTTGTGCTGCTTGGTGTTGTTAAGTCAGAACTGGTAGAACCTTGCTGTGTCGAAGTAGTTGTGTCCTGATTATTGATATCATCTTCAGTGCTGGATATTGTTGAGCCTAAATTCATATCTGACAATGTAGCTGTGGTTTCATAAGTATTTGTGCTGCTTGGTGTTGTTAAGTCCGAACTGCTAGAACCTTGCTGAGTCGAAGTAGTTGGGTCCTGATTATTGATATCATCTTCAGTGCTGGATATTGTTGAGCCTAAATTCATATCTGACAATGTAGCTGTGGTTTCATAAGTATTTGTGCTGCTTGGTGTTAAGTCCGAACTGCTAGAACCTTGCTGAGTCGAAGTAGTTGTGTCCTGATTATTGATATCATCTTCAGTGCTGGATATTGTTGAGCCCAAATTCATATCTGACAATGTAGCTGTGGTTTCATAAGTATTTGTGCTGCTTGGTGTTGTTAAGTCAGAAATGGTAGAAACTTGCTGAGTCGAAGTAGTTGGGTCCTGATTATTGATATCATCTTCAGTGCTGGATATTGTTGAGCCTAAATTCATATCTGACAGAGTAGCTGTGGTTTCATAAGTATTTGTGCTGCTTGGTGTTGTTAAGTCAGAACTGGTAGAACCTTGCTGTGTCGAAGTAGTTGTGTCCTGATTATTGATATCATCTTCAGTGCTGGATATTGTTGAGCCTAAATTCATATCTGACAATGTAGCTGTGGTTTCATAAGTATTTGTGCTGCTTGGTGTTGTTAAGTCCGAACTGCTAGAACCTTGCTGAGTCGAAGTAGTTGGGTCCTGATTATTGATATCATCTTCAGTGCTGGATATTGTTGAGCCTAAATTCATATCTGACAATGTAGCTGTGGTTTCATAAGTATTTGTGCTGCTTGGTGTTGTTAAGTCCGAACTGCTAGAACCTTGCTGAGTCGAAGTAGTTGTGTCCTGATTATGGATATCATCTTCAGTGCTGGATATTGTTGAGCCCAAATTCATATCTGACAATGTAGCTGTGGTTTCATAAGTATTTGTGCTGCTTGGTGTTGTTAAGTCAGAAATGGTAGAACCTTCCTGAGTCGAAGTAGTTGTGTCCTGATTATGAATATCATCTTCAGTGCTGGATATTGTTGAGCCCAAATTCATATCTGACAATGTAGCTGTGGTTTCATAAGTATTTGTGCTGCTTGGTGTTGTTAAGTCAGAAATGGTAGAACCTTCCTGAGTCGAAGTAGTTGTGTCCTGATTATGGATATCATCTTCAGTGCTGGATATTGTTGAGCCCAAATTCATATCTGACAATGTAGCTGTGGTTTCATAAGTATTTGTGCTGCTTGGTGTTGTTAAGTCAGAAATGGTAGAACCTTCCTGAGTCGAAGTAGTTGTGTCCTGATTATGGATATCATCTTCAGTGCTGGATATTGTTGAGCCCAAATTCATATCTGACAATGTAGCTGTGGTTTCATAAGTATTTGTGCTGCTTGGTGTTGTTAAGTCAGAAATGGTAGAACCTTCCTGAGTCGAAGTAGTTGTGTCCTGATTATGAATATCATCTTCAGTGCTGGATATTGTTGGGCCCAAATTCATATCTGACAATGTAGCTGTGGTTTCATAAGTATTTGTGCTGCTTGGTGTTGTTAAGTCCGAACTGCTAGAACCTTGCTGAGTCGAAGTAGTTGGGTCCTGATTATTGATATCATCTTCAGTGCTGGATATTGTTGAGTCTAAATTCATATCTGACAGAGTAGCTGTGGTTTCATAAGTATTTGTGCTGCTTGGTGTTGTTATGTCAGAAATGGTAGAACCTTCCTGAGTCGAAGTAGTTGTGTCCTGATTATGAATATCATCTTCAGTGCTGGATATTGTTGAGCCTAAATTCATATCTGACAGAGTAGCTGTGGTTTCATAAGTATTTGTGCTGCTTGGTGTTGTTAAGTCCAAACTGCTAGAACCTTGCAGAGTCGAAGTAGTTGGGTCCTGATTATTGATATCATCTCCAGTGCTGGATATTGTTGAGCCTAAATTCATATCTGACAGAGTAGCTGTGGTTTCATAAGTATTTGTGCTGCTTGGTGTTGTTAAGTCAGAAATGGTAGAACCTTCCTGAGTCGAAGTAGTTGTGTCCTGATTATGAATATCATCTTCAGTGCTGGATATTGTTGAGCCCAAATTCATATCTGACAATGTAGCTGTGGTTTCATAAGTATTTGTGCTGCTTGGTGTTGTTAAGTCCGAACTGCTAGAACCTTGCTGAGTCGAAGTAGTTGGGTCCTGATTATTGATATCATCTTCAGTGCTGGATATTGTTGAGCCTAAATTCATATCTGACAGAGTAGCTGTGGTTTCATAAGTATTTGTGCTGCTTGGTGTTGTTAAGTCAGAAATGGTAGAACCTTCCTGAGTCGAAGTAGTTGTGTCCTGATTATGAATATCATCTTCAGTGCTGGATATTGTTGAGCCCAAATTCATATCTGACAATGTAGCTGTGGTTTCATAAGTATTTGTGCTGCTTGGTGTTGTTAAGTCCGAACTGCTAGAACCTTGCTGAGTCGAAGTAGTTGGGTCCTGATTATTGATATCATCTTCAGTGCTGGATATTGTTGAGCCTAAATTCATATCTGACAGTGTAGCTGTGGTTTCATAAGTATTTGTGCTGCTTGGTGTTGTTAAGTCAGAAATGGTAGAACCTTCCTGAGTCGAAGTAGTTGTGTCCTGATTATGAATATCATCTTCAGTGCTGGATATTGTTGAGTCCAAATTCATATCTGACAGAGTAGCTGAGGTTTCATAAGTATTTGTGCTGCTTGGTGTTGTTAAGTCAGAAATGGTAGAACCTTCCTGAGTCGAAGTAGTTGTGTCCTGATTATGAATATCATCTTCAGTGCTGGATATTGTTGAGCCCAAATTCATATCTGACAATGTAGCTGTGGTTTCATAAGTATTTGTGCTGCTTGGTGTTGTTAAGTCCGAACTGCTAGAACCTTGCTGGGTCGAAGTAGTTGTGTCCTGATTATTGATATCATCTTCAGTGCTGGATATTGTTGAGCCCAAATTCATATCTGACAGAGTAGCTGTGGTTTCATAAGTATTTGTGCTGCTTGGTGTTGTTAAGTCAGAACTGGTAGCACCTTGCTGAGTCGAAGTAGTTGTGTCCTGATTATTGATATCATCTTCAGTGCTGGATATTGTTGAGCCTAAATTTATATCTGACAATGTAGCTGTGGTTTCATAAGTATTTGTGCTGCTTGGGGTTGTTAAGTCAGAACTGGTAGAACCTTGCTGGGTCGAAGTAGTTGTGTCCTGATTATTGATATCATCTTCAGTGCTGGATATTGTTGAGCCTAAATTCATATCTGACAGAGTAGCTGTGGTTTCATAAGTATTTGTGCTGCTTGGTGTTGTTAAGTCAGAAATGGTAGAACCTTGCTGAGTCGAAGTAGTTGGGTCCTGATTATTGATATCATCTTCAGTGCTGGATATTGTTGAGCCTAAATTCATATCTGACAGAGTAGCTGTGGTGTCATAAGTATTTGTGCTGCTTGGTGTTGTTAAGTCAGAAATGGTAGAACCTTCATGAGTCGAAGTAGTTGTGTCCTGATTATGAATATCATCTTCAGTGCTGGATATTGTTGAGCCTAAATTCATATCTGACAGAGTAGCTGTGGATTCATAAGTATTTGTGCTGCTTGGTGTTGTTAAGTCCGAACTGCTAGAACCTTGCTGAGTCGAAGTAGTTGGGTCCTGATTATTGATATCATCTTCAGTGCTGGATATTGTTGAGCCTAAATTCATATCTGACAGAGTAGCTGTGGTTTCATAAGTATTTGTGCTGCTTGGTGTTGTTAAGTCAGAACTGGTAGAACCTTGCTGTGTCGAAGTAGTTGTGTCCTGATTATTGATATCACCTTCAGTGCTGGATATTGTTGAGCCTAAATTCATATCTGACAGAGTAGCTGTGGTTTCATAAGTATTTGTGCTGCTTGGTGTTGTTAAGTCAGAACTGGTAGAACCTTGCTGGGTCGAAGTAGTTGTGTCCTGATTATTGATATCATCTTCAGTGCTGGATATTGTTGAGCCTAAATTCATATCTGACAGAGTAGCTGTGGTTTCATAAGTATTTGTGCTGCTTGGTGTTGTTAAGTCAGAACTGGTAGAACCTTGCTGTGTCGAAGTAGTTGTGTCCTGATTATTGATATCACCTTCAGTGCTGGATATTGTTGAGCCTAAATTCATATCTGACAGAGTAGCTGTGGTTTCATAAGTATTTGTGCTGCTTGGTGTTGTAAAGTCCGAACTGCTAGAACCTTGCTGAGTCGAAGTAGTTGGGTCCTGATTATTGATATCATCTTCAGTGCTGGATATTGTTGAGCCTAAATTCATATCTGACAGAGTAGCTGTGGTTTCATAAGTATTTGTGCTGCTTGGTGTTGTTAAGTCAGAAATGGTAGAACCTTCCTGAGTCGAAGTAGTTGTGTCCTGATTATGAATATCATCTTCAGTGCTGGATATTGTTGAGCCTAAATTCATATCTGACAGAGTAGCTGTGGATTCATAAGTATTTGTGCTGCTTGGTGTTGTTAAGTCCGAACTGCTAGAACCTTGCTGAGTCGAAGTAGTTGGGTCCTGATTATTGATATCATCTTCAGTGCTGGATATTGTTGAGCCTAAATTCATATCTGACAGAGTAGCTGTGGTGTCATAAGTATTTGTGCTGCTTGGTGTTGTTAAGTCAGAACTGGTAGAACCTTGCTGGGTCGAAGTAGTTGTGTCCTGATTATTGATATCATCTTCAGTGCTGGATATTGTTGAGCCTAAATTTATATCTGACAGAGTAGCTGTGGTGTCATAAGTATTTGTGCTGCTTGGTGTTGTTAAGTCAGAAATGGTAGAACCTTGCTGAGTCGAAGTAGTTGGGTCCTGATTATTGATATCATCTTCAGTGCTGGATATTGTTGAGCCTAAATTCATATCTGACAGAGTAGCTGTGGTGTCATAAGTATTTGTGCTGCTTGGTGTTGTTAAGTCAGAAATGGTAGAACCTTGCTGAGTCGAAGTAGTTGGGTCCTGATTATTGATATCATCTTCAGTGCTGGATATTGTTGAGCCTAAATTCATATCTGACAGAGTAGCTGTGGTTTCATAAGTATTTGTGCTGCTTGGTGTTGTTAAGTCCGAACTGGTAGAACCTTGCTGAGTCGAAGTAGTTGTGTCCTGATTATGGATATCAATTAAAGTGCTTGAATCAAGACCTGTCCATGCAGGTGTTGAATATTCATCAGTGCCAGTAGAAATTTCATTTGAAATAGTTGTTTTATCATCACCCTTGGTACTGGTTTCAACAAATTCTTCTATGTCTAGGCACTCCTTATTTTTGGTTTGTATAATGGTTACACAAAGTTCTAGAAATATAAATTTATTTATCATGTTCTTAAGTTTTGGTGTAATACATACTTTCATTGATTACAGTAACAATAAGTCCGAGATTGTTATTTTTGACCAACATATTGTTAATATTGCTTGAAAGAGTGGTCACTAAAAGTATTATATTTTAGTTATACTTAAAAAAAAATAAGTATGTATAGTTTACCCTTTAAAAAATGCCCCAAAGTAGCAAAAAATTCATCATAAGTTCTTAATTTTCCTGTTTCTAATCTTCCAATAGGCATATCTAGAATTTAAAATAGATTTTAGGTTTTAAATAATTTATTTACTTGATTCTAATTTTCATTTTGTTTCTCACCCTTGCCCTTCAGTTTAATATGGGTATCTATGAAAATAAATTTTATATTTTTTGTTATTATTTTTTATCGCAACTACTACTCACACGGTGAATTATGTTTGGGTTCTAAAAGGAATACAAATAATTTAATACTTACATATTTTTATGCCCTATTGAAGTAACTTACCAGCTAGGTTACCATTTAAATCTAAAAAATGTATCAAAATCAAAATTGAGAAATGTTATGAAATTTAAAAAAAATTACGTACCCTCATGGGAATGTCTATCATGGTCCCCTAAAATATATAATTGCTAAAATTAATTTTGATATTAATAAGGTAATAAGCATGTTTGCAAGAAATATATAGATTTGTCAAAAAAGGAAAAAACTATACCTAAATTATTTCTGTCAGCTACTAAAACGGGTGATTCTAACGTAAGATTAATAAGGAAAATAATCAACCCTAGATATTTCAACATCTTCACGCTTTTTTTAAGAAGCGGCAAGTCGAAATAACTGATATTTTTTAAACTTACTTTCAATATATATCCTCCATTAAAAATAGACCATAAAAATAAATTACTTTTCTTTTTTATCGCTTCAACTTTATTAACATAGCATGAGTATGGTAACGAAAAGTATATAATTTAACAGTTCAATAAAAAAATACAAGGCTGTCCAAAACTTAGCCACAAATACTTTTTATTTGCTTTTATAAACAATTATATTTTTTGTATTGTATTATTTGTATCAACAACGAAAAAGCTGTCTTAAGACCTTTCAAAAAAGCCTATCAATCTATCAGGATGCTGCATGCAGATTCATCTAGAAGTATATAAGCTATAAAATCTAATTTAGGCAGTGGCGGCTCGTCAGGGTTTATGAAATGTTTTTTGTTAACTTACTTTATTATCAAATTTTTTTTTTATGAAATTATTTTTTTTTTAAATTATTTTTTATAATAGTATATTATGTATCAAGTTTAATTAATTAAGTTACTTAATGAGTGTATAAAAAAGTTTATAAACGAGGTGCATACTATACTTTTTCTACGACAAATACTTATTATTATCTTAAAATGATTTAAATCAAAAAATTTGTATAGAGCGCCATCTATGAAACAACAGGGGAAACTGTCAAATGTCACATTTTTACATTTTATAAACACAATTATAAAGGTTATAAATCGAAATTTATCTTGAAAATTGACAGTTTTTCACAGTGAAAGTAAAGGAAATGTTTTATGAGGACTTTACAGTTATAGTTTACTGCAGGCGAAATTAACAGGTCAGTACAATGTTCATATAAACTTTTCAAATATTGGCGTTGAGAAACTATTTAATACTTTTGTATTTTTGTATTGAGATTATAAAATAATTTTCACATTTAGTATTATTTTACAAGAAAGACACTTTATTTTAAGGATATTATGACATTTGACAACTGTCAACTAACTTAAAACTAACTTCAGCCCGTGACTAAAAACCTGTTGCTAACTTCAACCCGTGACTAAAGCGCCGTATAGCAACAACTTGTCAATGTGTATTTAAAAGGTCACTTAGTGTCATGGAAACAGTATATTATTATTGTTTCCTTTTTTGAGGGGAAATTTGTCGATTTGGCGTATTATCTGCCCTATGCGCATAGTAAGTTCATAAGTGGGGGATTTTATATTTATGATCCATAGACATATTAATATGTCTATATATATTAATATGTCTATGTATGATACCAAACTAAATTAAATTTAGGTTATATCAAATATATATTTTTTTTTTCATAAGGGGGGATCAAGGTAAATTTTTTACTGAAAACATAAAATCGAAAGTTGCCCAATTAATTTTTAAACACGATTTCTTTACTAATCCGACCACGCTGATTTCAAAAAATCAAACCGCAGTTTCGTAACTCTTCGCGTATGGGAGTTTCAGTCAAAAACCGCGATATTTTTTTCATAAGGGACCTTAAGTTTTAAGTCTTAAGAAAAATGCTGCATAAACGCCACATTTTTTTCGCTTAATTTTAAATTCTTAAATCTTAAATGTTAAGTTCTAAGTTTTAAGTCACACATTATTAACAATATGTCGCTGTAGTTTTTACTATAGGTACAGAAAGTTTATACATATCATACGTGTAGTATATTTAACCATATCTCTGTATAAGGTACCAACTTAAGTACAATTGTAACCCTACGCATATGATTATTATAACTAAATAAATTATTGTTTTGTGCAACAACAAAAATATAGTTAAAGAAACAATAAAACTGTTACAGTATAAACATTATTAACATAACAGCATATATGCAGTCATATATATAATATATATATTTATATATATGACTGCCTATACTAATCAGAATATTCGATTAAATAACCATTGTTTTTTCTCAGTGTAGGTACCTCTTCAATTATATACTTAGATCTAAATATCGATATTTAATGTCGCTGCTTATTTAATTACTCATTCATTCATGGTTGATAAAAAATACTGAATAAGTAATCATAAAACGTGACCTGAGAGCGAAAAACGGACCACGTGGCTAAAATTTACCTTAGAAACACATTTTGGCTACTCCCCACATAACACAATATGTTTTAAAAATGTTTTCAGGCCGTTTGAAGAACAATATTTATAAATGAAAGGTTGTGAATGGAGTACGAACATTCAGGGAAAAATATTTCTATGACTAAATAACTGTACAGTAACGTTACGCGTAAATATTTCTGAAACATAAATATCATAAATATCACGTAAATATTTTTCATTTATAAAAAAAGTGAAATATATAAAAAAACTATTTTTTTAAATTATCTTTTATTAAGACGTGTTTTAAATTTTCTTGTATTTTTAGCGTGCAAAAAATAGATCTCCAGCGATGCTGTAAAAACATTTTAGAGGTATAAATATTTAAATGATAATCACTAATATTTCTATTTATTTAGCAAAAAATGAACAGATCTGTTCCAAAACTATTGTAAAAAATAAAATAAAAATCCTTTCCTCTAATACTTTTTCACCAATGAGCTTAAACCTTTGTATTTATTAATATATTATATTATAATAACGAAAAACACTGCATTTAAACAACAGAGCATTTTTTTCTAAAAAAAATTGACAATTTTTCAAAGGTGGAGCGCTTTATTTGTCAATTTTTACCAAACTAAAATAATTGAGAATATTGGACTAGTACAATTGTTTTTAATTTTTCATAATACAACTCGTAATCAAAAATATCATTTACCAAGTAAATAAAAATATATGAAAAATATCACATACTAATGTGAAAAATATCATATACTTACCATATACCGTAAGTATATGGAAAAATATCATATACTTAAGTATATGAAAAATATTTCAATCAGAGTCCTCTGTCCCATAAATTCACAACACCGAACTTCCACCAACACCTATAGATGGCGCCAGGTTCGCCACCTTAACCTCACTTTTTTACCAAACAATAAATCAACGAACTGTTATAATAAAAATGGTGAAAGATACGACTCCAATAAAGAAAAAACGTAAAACAGCCAACAGCGGTGATAACGATGCCGAAACCGACATATACAGGGTAAAATTAACCACTATATCTAACAAAACATAATTTATAGGTTATGTTTTCAGAAAGTTGTTGAATTCGAGGAGAAAGAATCTAAATTGCGGTCTTCAGAAGGAGATGCGCAAATTTACTCGAACATATGCGCGGACATACGTAAAAAACTCGCGGAAATGATGGAAATAAACTCGGAAGTCAAACAGGAGGGTCAACGTAAGCAAGAATTGTTACTTGATGTTTGTTTGAAGATCGCTGTTATTAAGAAGCTGAATAGGGTGGATAAAATCCAGCATGTGTTCGGGAAGGATTTGCTGAACGTTGAGAAACAAAAATGCGACTCAATTAAGTTGGTTTATCAGAATTTGGTGTATGAATTAGGTCACTTAATGCACGAAGTTACTAAATGTAATTCTTTTAAGTGAGTATAAAATAAATACAATTTTTCCAGGGTTGATGTTTGTTTTAAGGTCTAAACATGAGGATATTGACTTGATTGACTTCAGTGATTTTATGAAAGGGGCTCCCAGTGATATTACTGATAAATTTAAGAATGTCGATATGAATAATAGTGAGGATTTGCATAATTTAACTTTAGCTAGGTTGGAATATGAGTTGCAGCAACGAAAATCGTTGGCAAAATCTTATGAAACTTTGCAGGAGGAAAAGAAAAAACTTGCTGAAGGTAATGATATTCAAATTCACTTATGACAAAAATAAATGTTTTTTTATAGATATTGTGGAAAGGAAAAAAAAGCTAGATGGTTTACTACCACTATTAAACACCATAATAAATGCTACAAAACCACTACAAGAATACTTGAACATACCAATTGACAAAGTAAGGGCTGAACACAAGTTGGCACAGCTATTACCAGACCCTCTGTATATATTTTATGCTAACGTGGTTGCCTACAGCAGTGTACATGGTAAAAAAAAAAACAATTTTATTCAATGCATTTTTTTTCTTTCTCTTTTTAATTTTAGATGTTAATTTAAAGGCTAATATACTGGGTGATCAGGAGGAAGCTGCCCAGTTTAATGAAAATGAGTGTAATAATGAGGAAATCGAGTCTGACGGTGAAAATGAAACACAGGAAACAGAGGTATTTATTTCGTTCAGATTTTTTAAATTTAATTTCATTCGTTTTTTTTATTATTTAGGAGGTGGTAGAAGTTAAAAAACGCCGCCACAGGAAATCTGTGCAAGTAGATCCAATGGAGGAAAAGAAGAAGAAGATACTTGAACTTCATCCTTTGTCAGTTGAAGTGACTTTGGATATAAAAGACGTCCCAAGCATAACATTGCTTCTGAAATACTGTATGAAACTTAAAATAGTCACTGTCACATCAAAAGTTAACCTACCAAGTGACATAACAGGTAAAATACTAAGTGGTTTATATATAAATAACAATTTTAAATATTTTTTTCAAATTATTTAGAAAAAATTATTATTATTAAAACATTTATCCACCAAAGACGCAAAGTAATTTTTTTCAGAATTTAAACTCAATTTTATTTGACATTTCATCTGACAACTGTCAAGCGGTTTTAACCTCACTTTTGACCAATCTGACATCTGACACGTTTAACCAAACTTTTTCCTAATCTTACATCTGTCAAACGGTTTTAACCTAACTTTTTCCTAATTTATTGCACTAGTAAACAACTTAATACATTAGTATATTATATTAAATGTAGGAGTAGATAATGCGCATAATCTCGAATATAATACTATACTTTAGGGTATTTCCACGAAACCTTACCCCACCTTGATAAAAAATCAGATGTTTTATTTAACAAAATAACAACTATATCTGAAGTCAAATAGTTTAATTGCGACGTAATTTATAACCTTAAAATTTTCGTACATTGTGATGCTAAGAAGCTAACATTAAGAATAAATACGTAAGAGTTTCAATTCTCGATAAAATGTTCAAATGTCGCACCCGTTACATTTTGAGAAAATTTTAGAAAATAAAGTATGCAATTTTTGTGCATTTAAAATATGTGCTTGTTTAAGGTTACTATTCAAACTTTACACAAAAAATAATTACAATATGCTTTCATCCAAAATTTTACAGTATCAACTTTAGAAGCCAACTTAGTCGCATTTGCCAATTTTCTAAGGTCGCGCCCGTTACGCTATTCATGACGTTATAAAAGATTTTCTATACAAGTTTTTATTGACATTTAAATGTCAATAAAAACTTGTATAGACAAATTTGTCTGAGTTAAATAAATACCTAATTTTATTTATGAACAAACACTTTATTATCACGAAAAAACGCAGTTTTAGTGTCGCACCCGTTACAATGGAAATACCCTTTATCTACCCAAATTGATTTTAAATTAAAATAAATTTAAAATCTGTCGCCTTCTCCCAATTTAAAACCCGATTGGTCTAAATCACGGTGTAGACTGAAATCGGCCAATCACTGATGCCTAAGGGAATAATGAGTAAATTATTCCCGTTGTTAGGCGGGGCGGATATAATGGTTATCATTATATACGGAAAAACATTATTCAATAGGAGTAGATACAATTTTTAATACACAGGCTGCCAATTAATTAATTTTTAGGCAGGGTTGGCAAAAAACATGTAAAAAAAGTGTTTTTTAAATATTTTTTATGGTTAGGTAGTTCAAAACACGTTTAAAACATATAACAATAAACCAAACCAACATAAAATCCATTATTTTTAGTAAATGTAGAGAAACGTATATTTCTTTTCAAAGAAATAATAAAATATTTAAAATGTAAAATTTATAATTTGACATTTAAATGTCTTTGTTTAAAACATGTTTGAAATAATTGTTTAAAACAAAATGTTTTAAACATGCCAACTCTGTTTTTAGGTAACTGTGCCCAAGAAATCTTGTCAGGGGAAAACATTCTTAACGAGTTAACTCCAGGCGATTTTGGCCTTGAAAGCCCTAATCCTGGAACCCCCTACCTACTGAAAAAAGTTGGTCTGGGCTCATTTAGAAATCTTGTATCTCAATTGGGCTACGCCTACAAATGGGTGCAGACTTGCTGTGGTTTGGATTTTTTGGACAAAAAGGTGAGTTTTGTGTTTTTTACTATTTTTTTCTTTATTTAATTAAAACTTGTTAATTTTTTGTAGGCTTGGAATGAGGAAATTGGCAGGGCAAATGTTGAGTTTGTTTTTAAGACTTTAAATAAAAGGTTGACTTCTAGAACTACTTTAGCTAAGCAGCTGGAAAAGTTAGGTAAGTGTTTTTTACAACTTCTACCCCGCCAAAGAAATTTTACGTCAAAAATATTTTTTAGAGCAAAAAAGTATACCACAAATACCAGATTCTATAGAAAAGCCGCAAAATGTTATATCAAATTTAACGAAATTTGGTTCTACCACTTATCAGGATTTTTGTATGGCTAAACATACAAAAGCCCTTCTTGATGAGGACTTTATAAATCCTTCCGATTTATTTTTTACTGCTACAATAAGCAGAAGCTCAGGTAATAAATTAAAATTTGAAAAAAACATTGCAATTTTTATTTGTTTTTTTAGCCCATCTAAACTGTTTTATTGTAATCAAAAACGATTATCCCATAAGTCAACCAATATTTTCCTTAAATTTAATATTCAATAAACAGAATTTAAGTGCGGAAAATTCCGATCAAATAAGAGTAAGCAAAATAATTTGTTTGTAAATATTAAGTAAATTTTTCTAATTTTGTTTGTAGGATATGGAAAAAGCTATTAATCTGGAAATAAAACATGATTCAGCAAGTTTATTAGCCATCAAATTCACTTTTTTGTGCAGTTATTTAGATGTTCTTTTGGAAACCAATTTCCCCAAGGATTTCCCACAAAGTACCATGTTTTTAAAGAACATAAGGTAAGCAAAAAATATTTTGACGTTATTTCCTGATAATTGACATTGTGAATGTTTTTTAGCGGAAGAAACAGAAGAAATCCATTTAAATTTAGAAAAATTGGAACTGGAATTTTTACGCAGTATTGATCATTAATTGTTGGACAACATTCTCAAAATAAAACAAATTAATTTAAATAAAAAATAGTTTTATTCAATACAAAAAATACATAAATAAAAAACCTATTAAAACTAAGCTTTAAAAACCACAGAATCACACTCCAAAGTTTTTAAGTTTAAAGCAACAGCTTGAAAACTTCCACAGAACTCTGGAATACTTATAAGCCTAACTTTTTGTCCTTCTGGGCCTTTAACCATTTTACTGGAAAATTTTTCTTGGTTGCCAGCAAAAAACACATGAGGGCATTTTTCGATAATGAAAGGATCATTTTCGTAGAATGGAAAACATCCTAATGTGTCTGGACATGTGGGGGCCAAGTGATTCCACTTAAGGCAATTTTCCAGGGCAATTAATGGGTCTGTTATATCCGAATACCTAAGAATATCAGTTATTGGTTGCCCTGATGTTCCCAGTATGTTAACATTGTTTACAGAGCAATTATATGGGTTTGGGACAAGATTTAATGTTTTGTATTCTATTGATTTAGGAAACATACAAAAATGCATTTGTTTCTGGGGTAATATGTGATTTGAAGGATCGTTTTCACCTGGCATTAAGTCAACATCTATCACTTGACATAACTGCATTAAAAATGTATCCAAAACTTTCACAGCTTCAATAGTATGAGCATTTTCTGATACTCTTGATGTCATTGATATTGTTTGTTGTTTCTGTGTGTCTTTCTTAGTTCTCACACTATTTCCAGCAATTATTACTCTTGCTATTTTACTTACATCATTTGAATCATCATTTATTAACCCTGAAATGTAGAAATTAAAGAGTTCTAAGTTTACAGCAAAATTTTGTTGATTTATGAAGTCCAATCCACTTAGAAACACTATGAAATGAGTTTCTGTGCTCATGGGGCGCTCAATTTGTTCTCTGAAGTCAGCAAATGTGTAATCTTCAACTAAAAACTTGCCTTTCCCAGCATCCGTACCCAATAGGGCACATGTAATACCAGTGACTAAATTATTCCCTTTCATACTACCTGGAATCAAAAAATACATTGTACACCTCACTTTACACCCTAAATAATGACTTACCAAGCACATGGTACCTCTGCAACTCATCCTCAATAAACAACACATCACTATCATCAGTAAAATGACTCAAAATAGGCTGCGGATTCAACTGATTACTCTCTGCTAACTGTTTTAGCACTGATGGCTTCAAACTTTGATCTTTAAACAACGTACCCATAATTACAGTCTTCCCATTAATCTCTTCAGATAACTTATACAACTTTTTTACTGGATATTTATCACCCCACTTCAGTTTAATTCTTTCCAGTAACAGTACTTCCATTTCTTTCAATCTTGTTAAATATATACTGCAGTATTGTTTGTTGTAGTTTGCCGTGTCTTTTGAGAATTTATCCGATAGATTTTTGTATTCCACGCATACTCTTTCCCTGTATTCACCCATTTTTACGGTATTATACTAATTTGAGATTTGGACAGTTCGCATAACCTAAAAACGGAAAGTTACCGCCAAAAGTAGTTCAAATGCACCAATGAGTACAGACAACCCAATTACTACAATGCAATCTGGATTGCCTAAAATATTGTTAAACATGTTTTTCAGACAATCTGATGTTTTTTAGTTCAGTGATTTTGACTGATGAAATTTACATTTTTAATTCACACTGAAAAAAAAACGTGTTCTTTCTTTGTAATAACTACCTAGGCAAAATAAAATCTTGTAAATAATTAATAAATTTTTATTAAAAACTACACATTCAACACATTTTACTCCTCTTTAGCTGCTTGCTGCTTTGAAATAATAAAATTAGCGTATTCTTCAGCTTCTGCCAATCTTTTTCTGCGATTGTAAGGTTGGTAGAAATACTTGTAGGTACAAAGAAAACTTAACGAGAAGCCTACTGCTGCGGCACCTAATAACATGGGATTTCCAGCTTGTTTTTTGGCGAAATTTGCGTGCCAAGACATCTTAGTAGTCTGGGGAATATAAGTTAAGTTGATTTATGCTTGTTTAAACCTACAAAGTTAACTTACTTGATTTTTATTCTTTGGTTGCAATGTCCAGCTTTTTATCCTGCTTGGGCTCTTGGTACTGAATAAAAATAGGCTTCCAGATGTAAATACCACCAATTACACCAAGCACAGTGGCAACACAGATGTCCGCAGTCGATAAATACCTCGGCTTACGAATCCTCATAATATTCACTCAAGAGTGAGGTTATGTTATATTTTTCTCGATCTTCTCGCGTATTTGGCCGTTGATATCGACTATTTTCTTCTCGGGAACAACCAGATGTTTGATGAAAGGGAAACCGAAGTGTAAAGTTAGCGCTGTACCGGCAAGAAGTCCTATTATACGGGTCTTCTTGCTTAAATTTAACATGACATAACCGGTTGATTTGAACTAATAGTAGGTCTAATCAACCGATACACCTCAGAACCATACCTTTACTGCGCATGACAAATTTATTGGTTGAATTTCAGATTTATAGTTGAAAATGGGGGGGTATATTTTTGGGTCAAAAAAATTCTACCATCTTTTACCATAAATAAGTCCTTCAAATACAGTTTACATATCATGATTTTTTGCAATGTTACCAACCCTAGTCCCTAACTAACTTATTTTTACCATATCTTTGATTTTCCCTCGAGAAAAAAATGCCCTTAAAGTTTCAGCTCTTAATCTTACCCCTAAGTTCATTTATTTTGATCCTAAAGTTTTCTTATTAAAAAGACAGTAAATTAAGGAATTTTTAAATTTCCAAAAGCTTGGCGACATTTTACGGTTACTACAATTTACATAGGTATTAATTTAAGAAAATAAGACAAAATTTGTGTTAAACTGACAGATAGATAACCTCAATTATTTGTATTGAAATGTCAAGGTGGTATTTTGGGTGTCGAGCTTGGTAGACAAGGTGATCAAATAAATCCAAAACTTCGTAAAATATACTTTTTATTGAAATAATGTGGTACCACACATTGCGAATGACGATGAATATGAGATAAAAACAAGGAAATAGTCCTAAATGCCGTAATTATTCAAATTATCATGCTAAGCTGGTAAATCTAAATTAAAAAATCTAAAGTTAGAAGTCGCAAAATGACTCCTAAAAAGCACAAATATGTACAAAAAATAACTTAACAATTTAACATGAAAACCTATTCAAATTATGAACTATTTCTTATAAGATATTAAATTTTAGAAGTCCTTAAGAAATAAAATAATTGAATTTAATGCTGCATCTCACTGGGATATGTTACCAAAAACAGCTCGTTTCCATTAATATATCTGAAAAAAAAAAGTTATTTTTTTATATTTTTTTTAGTTGTAACACCTGTATATACACTGCCCGTAAAAATTAACGCATAATAAGTAAAAAAAATTCTAACTCCAAAACGCCTTGACCAATCTTTATGAAATTTGGTATAGAAATACTTCAACTTATATCTCAGTTTACGTGTTCGAGGGTTTTACAAAAAAATATTTATATAGCTCTTTAATTAAATAATAAAAAAAATGTTCTAAAAATAACTTTTAGTGAAGTTAATTAAAAATATGGTGTTAAAGACCGTATTTTTGTTAGTATACCCTAAAAATTTTGCACAAATCAAACGAACAGTAACAAAGATACAGCGCTTTAAAGTCGGTAAAAATTACCCCTTTTTATTATTTTGCTGAAAAATGGTCATTTTTGACGACTTTGAAGCGCGTTACTGTTCGTTTGATTTGTACAAAATTTTCAGGGTTTACTACCAAAAATACGGTCTTTCACAGGATATTTTAATTTAATCCTTAAGTTATTTTTTAAACGTTTTTTATTATTAAATATAAGGGCTTTAAGGATATTTTCTCGAAAAACCCTTGAACACGTAAACTGAGATATAAGAAGATTGCTAAAGGCGTTTTAGAGTTTTTTTTACTTGTTATGCGTTAATTTTGACGCGCAGTGTGCGTTAATTATATACTGCAAAATAGAAAAACCAATGGGGCATTTTATTTTTCTGATACAGTAGCACATAAAAATTCTATATTTTAGACGCGCATTAAAAATATTAGGAATAAATATTAAAAGAAATAATTTTGTATTTTTTTCTCTTTATTTTATGTGAAATTGATTTAAAAAGTACTATTAAATCTAAGAAAATATTACGTTTTATTAATTGTGTGGTTAAATTACCTCCATTTTTTAATTAAGTTAATTAAAAAATTGAGGTAAATTAACAGATAAAAAAAATTATAATGGCGTTTCTTTTTTAGAATGAACAACTAATATGGCGGATTAACAATTTACTTATATAAGTTAAATAAACCTTAATATATCTAAAAAATAACTAAAAAAATTAAAAGGACGTTATGTAACTTCTACAATAATACTTTTTAATAATACTTTTTAACTGTTTTAAGACTTTTAATTGACAATAAAAAAATCAAATATTCAACTTGTTATATACAGTGTGGCCCATTTACGATGGAAAAACCCCAGTAACTTTTTTATTTGTTACTCGATTTTAATGAACAAAACCTCAAAAGATATAAAATAAAAACTCTATCTAAGCTAAAAAAATAATTTCAATGTCACTTGACAGATGCCTATTATAACATTTTTTCTGTGTCAAAATTCGGAAAAAATTATTAGGGTCGTTTTTTCAAAAAAAAATAAGTACGCCACTGAATGCAGCATGCTTTAAAATGTGTAGAAACCAAATTTCATAAAAAACGAACAATTAATAACTATTTTAGACAAGTTTTTTTAAATATTTATAAACAAAAATGAATCACATTTAGGAGGTTTAGGAGAAAAAGTACGCCACTGAACGCGGCGTACTTCAGAATGGGTACAAAGTTAATTTCATCAAAAATTAACTATTAAAAACTATTTCAGACAAGTTTATTTTAACAATTTATAACAAAAATTGATTCAAAACAAAAAACCAAGATAGCCATTCTGAAAATTTATGTTTATAACGTGTTAAAATAAACTTGTCTGAAATAGTTTTTAATGGTTAATTTTTGATGAAATTAAGTTTGTACCCATTTTCAGTGGCGTACTTATTTTCCCCTAAACCTCCTAAATGTGTTTTATTTTTCGTTATAAATATTAAACAAAACAACTTGTCTAAAATTGTTCGTTTTTAATGAAATTTGGTTTCTACCCATTTTGAAGCATGCCGCATTCAGTGGTGTACTTATTTTTTTCGAAAAAAACACCCTAACAAGTTTGACATAAAAAAAAATGGTATAGTAGGCATCTGTCAAGTGACATTGAAAATATTTTTTATAGCTTAGATAGAGTTTTTTATTCTCTATCTTTTGAGCTTTTGATCATTAAAATCGAGTAACAAAGAAAAAAGTTATGGGTGTGTTTCCATCTTAAATGGGCCACACTGTATAAAAAATACCATTTGAAAAATTAAAGGGTTAGTGCATAATTACCTTTTAAAAATGTAAATACTTCAAATAACTAATTGCTTGAAAAACAAGTTAATTTACTTAAAATACTATTTAACCAGTGCGCTACTTGGGAACTTAAAAATAATTTTCAAGGCCTAGAATTTTTTTTAAATAATTTTTTTTATTTTTAATATTTTTTAAACCTAAAAAATCATTTGAACAGCGACATTGCCAATTTTTTTTCAAGAAAGCTTCGCTAAAAAGTTTGATTCTTTATAAAAAATAAACATGCCAATATTTTTTGATATCTCCTGTATAGGGACTTTGTTTTGAAAAAAAAGATGTAAAATTCCGACCCTTGGTAAATTAAATTAAAATTAAGCAGTTTGTGTGGTACTTACAAGTTTCTGTTGCCCATGCGCACAGTGCCGAGCTCTCTCGTCGTGCCATCTAGCGGATCCGCTTCGTACTCGGCCAAAATTTGCTGCGTTGCCGGATCGTCCTCTTCCGTGCCGATTTGCAGCTCAGCCGTGTCGTCCTCGTCGCTCTGCTCGACCTGTTCGTCACATAATTATCACGTTAACGATAAAAAAAGTGAACGCCCTTGTGGAAATTTTTCTCTGAGAAAGTCTTACTTTCTCTTAAAAAGTCTGAATAATACTTAGTAAGTCGGAAAAAGTCTGAATAAGTCTTATTAAGTAAGACTAATAGCAAGATTTGGGAGTCTTCTGGAAGAGTTAATAAGACTTATTAAGACTTAATAAGACTTTTAGTAGAGAAAAGGTAGGTACCTATGGCGATAAAAATAAATATCCGAAATAATTCATAGAGGTTGTATTTGGTTATCGTTGGTGGAAACAATGAAAGCATGTCAAGCGCATCGTTTGTATAAAATTATAATTGTTATAATTATTACATCTTACCTATGTTATTATATAGGTAATTATGCAATAAACTTGGCTTATAACAACAGCAAAAATGTTAATAAATACTTTTCTATGTGTTTTATTTTACGATAACCAAATATGAATTATTTCGGATATTTATTTTTATCGCCATAGGTACCTACCATTTCTCTACTAAAAGTCTTATTAAGTCTTAAAAAGTCTTATTAACTCTTCCAGAAGACTCCCAAATCTTGCTATTAGTCTGACTTAATAAGACTTATTCAGACTTTTTCCGACTTAATAAGTATTATTCAGACTTTTTAAGAGAAAGTAAGACTTTCTCAGAGAAAAATTTCCACAAGGGCGAAAAAAAAAAGTCTCACCTTCGCTTGCACCGCCATGTGTATCTGTTGGGCGGTGATTTTGGCGGCGGCGTGCGGCGGCTGATGGGGTTTCTGGTGCGTCTTCATGTGACGCTTCATGTCGCTGCGCACGCGGAACGGCTTCATGCAGATGTCGCACGAGTGCGGCTTTTCGCCCGTGTGGATGCGGCGATGGTTCTGCAGGTACGACGACGCGCGGAACGTTTTGCCGCAGAACTCGCATTTGTAGTTCTTCTCGCCGGTGTGAATGCTGGAAAATAACAATGAAGGGTTGTTGGAAAGGCGTGGAAGGGCCGACAAAAATTTTACAAGTTTCAGCCAAAACTATGGCACGCCGTTTTAACATTAAATTTTATTAAATAATTTTTTAACTTAAAATTTTATTGGTTTAAAATTTTCCTAACTAAAAATTTTAGGTTTACATTTATAAATTTATAATATTTTCAACTATCATGTATTGAAAGACAAAATTTACTAACCAACAGTTCACTTCTCGGCCATTTCAAGCGGATGGACGGGACAAATCACAAAACTGTTTTTATAAAAAAAATTGTAGGTAATTTATTATATATTATTTTTGCATCAAAATTGTCATATATATTCTTCTATTATTAGGCTATACATTAAATAAAAAAAATCGCAAGAAATATTTTATAAAAGTAGAGATAATTTCAATAATTGACAGGGGATGGACGGAACAAGATAAATCTTTTTTTTGTCCCGTCCACACCTTTCAATTATTAAAATTATATCTACTTTTATAAAATATTTCTTGCGTTTTTTTTTAATTTAATGTATAACCTAATAAAAGAAGAATATTTTTGACAATTTTGATGCCAAAATATTATATAATAAATAATCTACAATTTTTTTTATAAAAACAGTTTTGTAATTCGTGCGTTTCGCGCGCTTGAAATGGCCGTTCTGTATTAAAAAATATTATTTTCTATCAATTTTTGCAAAAATTTTAATAATAATAATTTTCCAAGTTTAATTTATTTGGGTGGCATTTTGTTAACTTAAATAAATATTTTATAAAATTATTGAGATTAATTTGGTAAAGTTAAATTTTTTAGTATTTAAAAATAGTATCAAGCCATTTAAAATAAAAACACATATAAAACATTTCCTACCAAAATAGTTTAGAAAGTCAAATTTTTGTAAACTCAAAACTATTGATAATCAAAAAATATTTTAAATATAAAATGCAACTGTAAAGTTTAAAAATATTAATTAAAAAAAATGTAATTTTAATATTTTATTCTTCAAAATTATTGGTTTGAATTTGTAAAGAGTCATTTAAATGATAGTCGATAAATTTTCAATACAAAAATTTGAACATTACATTTAAATGTTAGTTTTAAATGGTAAAGTGGTAATTTTTGCATTAAAAATTTATCGACTCTTTACAAATGACTCTTTACAAATTTAAACCAATAACTTTAATTTTTAACAATTTTAAATTGATATATTTTTAAGACAAAATTTATAACTTTACATTTAAATGTAAGTCGATAATTTTTAAATTACAAAGTGTAAACGTAGCTTTAGTAGAAGGCACAAGAGTCTGGGATCGAAGCCTCGATGCAGCCAGTTTGATCCGCAGTGTTGCCAAATCGTGCTTGCTCCATAAATATTTGACGCGTTTTACAAATTATCGTAAAGAAATGTTTCTTTATTACATAAATTTAATAATAGAACAACAACATTTTTAGTGCCTATTGTACTAAGTTAATTCGACAATTAAAAAACATCAACGGATCAAAACTTTGATTTTTGCAATTTATATCTCACAATTTCAACTTGAACTTACAATTAAGTCGTCTGGTTCCAAAATGTTTGAAAAATGGGTTATTTACACCAATAAAATCGAAATATTACCTAGTATATTATTGCAAAATTATATCTGAACAGAAACGACCATTCGGCCATTTCAAACGCGCGAAACGCACGAATTACAAAACTGTTTTTATAAAAAAAATTGTAGATTATTTATTATATAATATTTTGGAATCAAAATTCTCAAAAATATTCTTCTTTTATTAGGTTATACATTAACTTAAAAAAAACGCAAGAAATATTTTATGAAAGTAGATATAATTTTAATAATTATATATATGCGATTTTTTTTTATTTAATGTATAGCCTAATAATAGAAGAATATATTTGACAATTTTGATGCAAAAATAATATATAATAAATAACCTACAATTTTTTTTATAAAAACAGTTTTGTGATTTGTCCCATCCATCCGCTTGAAGAAGAAGATTTACATCTTCTTAATAAAATGTATTTTTAACTTTTAAATTGATTTTAAAAAGTGATTTTTCAAAATAAAATTTTTGGAGATGTAGCTACTGTAATTAATCTTACCGATTCCATTGTAGGATGAACATACAATTGTGGGATGAAAATTTCAAAAATCAAAGTTAGTTTTGGCTGAAACTTATGAAATTTTTGTTGGCCCTTTGGAAGCTACAATTGTAGGATTTAAATTGCAAAAATCAAAGTTACCCAGCAAACACATATTAAGTCTGATTAGGTAATGGCCTGTTACATAGTTTCATGGCTTAATAATGGCATTTTTAGCTAAAGCTTTCCGTGTATTGGGCCTTTACAGGAATGTTTTAATAATAATATTAATTTTGATAAAAGGCTGTCGTGATAAGGTCTTGCAATGGTCCTTTTCAGACTAATATTTGTATATTTTACAATAAAAGCAATTCCCAGTATCAATTTAATGGGATTTTAAAAAACCACTAAAGTGATAAATGTTTTCTGTATATAAAACTTACACAAACCTTTAATTATCCTTTGGTTTACGCCATATTTTAAAAATGACGCCCAGTGTAATTCCTAAAGTTTTAATGGTGTGTTATACCTCATAAAAAAATAATACCGTACGTTACGTCTCGTACGTTAATTAAAGTGGATGTATACGCACACATAGGTTTCTGTATGATTCAACTTTTCTTAATTGCTTACGTTTTGCGCGTTACGTTAATTAAAGTGGATGTAAACCATACTTAAGTAGGGTTTTTTTAATTTTACAAATTTTAGAACTCTTATTAGAGACAAAATACCGCCAAAGAATTTAGTAAAAAGGTTTAATTGATAAGGTCAAAATTGAGGAAATTACAAATAAAATATATTAATAATGGCAAAGAAAACCTGGTTTTCTTTGTGATAGAGGACAATCTACCAAAAAAATCAACTGAACTTATTTGTAAATATATATTTTAATTTTAAATATTTTAAACAGGTCTTTATAACAACAAATTACTTTATTTGCTTAATTTAAGATTGTTTTAGTATTACATTTCACGATAATATATTAATTAATGTAATAGATAAGTAAAGTATTTATTATGGTGAATAAAATGTGGTTTGTTTATTTTTATTGGGTCAGATATTCCACGATAATCGGAAATTTGTATCCCGACCGTCAGAAATTGTATTGTGACGGTAGGGATAACAATTTCTGATTATCGTGGAATTTCCTTATCTAATAAATATATACCTACCATATTTAATCCACTTACCCATTAAAAAAATTATTTATATAATTACTGTACAGTTTCATTAGACTTTATAGAGCCTTTAGTTCATTAAAGGTTGAGTTTGCTGGGTAGTTTTGGCTGAAACTGGTAAAAAAATGTTGTTCCGAAACAAAACAATTCACTTACCGCCTATGGACGATGAGCGAATACTTCCTGGCGAACTCCTTGCCGCAGTACTCGCACTGGAAGTTCTTCTCGTTCGAGTGTATGCTGGTCAGGTGGTACTTGAGATCGCCCCACTGCCTGAACTTCTTGCCGCACTCCGAGCACGTGTACGGCTTGTCGCCGCTGTGCAGTCGCAGGTGCACCTTGAGCGCGCTAGACGCGAAGAAGCTTTTGCCGCACTGATCGCACTGGTGCGGCCTGATGCCCGTGTGACTGCGCATGTGGTAGACCAGCGAGTTGCGGTGCACGAACGTGCGGTCGCACTCCGTGCACTGCAGGTTGCCCTTCTTTTTTATCGGCTTCTTCTTGGGGCTGCTGGCCGGAAGGTCGGGCTCCACCTCTGAAAGGCGAAACGACCATCGTCAGTGACCGTAAATGACCGTCACAGTTGGGGTTTTAAAATTTCCGGAAAATTTGAGCCAGCGTTTTTTCCCGAAAAATAATCGGAAAAATTGAATTTTGCATTTTTTTTTAATATGAAAAAATGCAAGTCAATTTTACTGAAAATTTCCAAATTTTTACGGATACTATCCGTACCGTAAACACGGGTGGCTTTGGCTCACTTTCAAACTTAAGCTTAAAATTTTTATGGTTTTAACAATCATAAACATTAAATTTTGTATACCAAAATTTGAGTCTTGAGTTGCTCTTTCATAATAACTATGTTATAATATGACATAGGGTTAAGTTTCAAAAATAAAAATTAAAAACTGGGTTACCCCCTGGTTGCGGGTTACTTTGTCTCACAGTGTATTTTCCGTATAAAATGAATTCAATATTATATTTTATTTTTATTAGACACGTGTTAGCAGCTACATATATCTATTGCAAGGGATTACCAATAAAAAAAATAAAAAATCGACCTGTAGTTATCCAAGGATAATCATTTCAATGGATTGCACATAATATAGAAATTTTAACGCGTGTATTTCTAAGAGTTTTGCACTGATGCGATATATACAATTTTAAAGTGTAATAAATCCCATTTCTTTCTTTAAAACACTGATTTTCCTGTAATATAAACTCAATAGAATCGCTCAATTAACAGGTTTAGACCAACAAATTATAAATGTTAATTTTATCGAGCGCGAAAAGATTTTTCATAAATGGGTTAAAGTCACCCGCGGGGTGCAAAGTCACCCGTATTTACGGTACACTGATAACGAGGAAAAAGTAAATTTTCGACGCTGAATATTATGATTATAATAATTATTTCTTTTATTTTAATTCAGTAAGAATATTCTACTGGATCGCAAAAAAAAGATATTCGGTGCTGTATTAACATAACTTTCGTTTTATTTGACACTTTGATTTATAAAATTATAATTTTGTAATTGTTTATTTTCAATGGACTCCTTTTTGCAAAAAAGACCTAACCGACTGTATATTTAACGTTTACGTTTATTTTCTTATCAAATTAATTTTATGCTTAGTTTTTTTTTGTAAGGATATTTTTTTTTAATTAAAATAATGTTGGAATATAAGCGACTTTTTGACCCTGGAGAGACAAAATTGAAATCCCAGCACAAAATACCAAATATACAAAATCTACAATATATAGATTTCCACAATGAATAGTTGAAATATTTAAAGAAATATCTGTGCATTTACCATAATATGGTGCATGGTTGAATGGAACTATAAAATGTGATTATATGAAAAACAAACGTTAATAATAATTTTATTATTCACGTTTTCGTAGTATATTATGTATCAAGTTTTATAAACGCCATTATTTGCGAGTTTTATTAGGCACGAGCGAAGCTTGCGAGCAAGTGATTAATAAACTTCAGCCCGTGACTAAAACGCTATAAAGTCACAGATAAATGTTTTTAAGAATCTAAAACTTGTTAGGACGTTTTTAAATAAGTTATTTAGATCCTAAATTGTGTTTTTGTCATTCTAAAATGTATTTTTTTATTTTTAAATAAGTTTTTCATTCTAGTAATTTAAATATCCCTGACAAAAAAGTGAAAATGAATTTTAACATTTTAGACATTCTTAAATATGCTTTTTGCCTAATAAAATGTGTTTTGGCACTTTAAAGCAATTTTTTATGTTTTTGGACCATCCAAATTGCATTTTATATATTTTTATAATAAGTGTGTGATTTTTAAATAAATCTTTTTTCACAAAATTTTAAAATTGATTTGTACCCTTACCATTTTAAATTATAGGGGTTTTTAAGATTCTGAAAGTTATTTAGAGGTTTTAAAATAAGTTATTTAGATCCTAAATTGTGTTTTTGTCGTTTTTAAATAAATCTTATACATCCTTATACAAATATTGCTCTATTGACAACATTTTAAAATAAATTGGTACCTAAATGCCATTTTAAATTATAGGTGTTTTTAGCAATTTTAAATGTTTTTAAGATTCTAAAACTTATTTAGAGGTTTTAAAATAAGTTATTTAGATCCTAAACTGTGTTTTTGTCATTCTAAAGCTGCGTTTCAGACATTATTAAAAATGCTTTTTACCTTATAAAATGTATTTTCACACTTTGAATTAATTTTGTATGTTTTGGGACCATCCAAATTGCATTTTGACATTCTAAAATGAATTTTTTATATTTTATAATAAGTCTGTCGTTTTTAAATAAATCTTATACATCCTTATACAAATATTGCTCTTTTGACAACATTTTAAAATTAATTGGTACCTAAATGCCATTTTAAATTATAGGTGTTTTTAGCAATTTTAAATGTTTTTAAGATTCTAAAACTTATTTAGAGGTTTTAAAATAAGTTATTTAGATCCTAAACTGTGTTTTTGTCATTCTAAAGCTGCGTTTCAGACATTATTAAAAATGCTTTTTACCTTATAAAATGTATTTTGACACTTTGAATTAATTTTGTATGTTTTTGGACCATCTAAATTGCATTTTGACATTCTAAAATGAATTTTTTATATTTTATAATAAGTCTGTCGTTTTTAAATAAATCTTATACATCCTTATACAAATAGTTTTCTTTTGACAACATTTTAAAATTAATTGGTACCTAAATGTCATTTTAAATTATAGAAGTTTTTAGCATTCTAAAATATTTTTAATTAAGATTATTGTACATTTTAAAGTAAATTTTAAATGGTTTTAAGATTCTAAAACTTATTTAGACGTTTTAAAATAAGTTATTTAGATCCTAAACTGTGTTTTTGTCATTCAAAATGTATTTTTTTAAATTTTTAAATAAGTTTGTCATTCTAGTAATTTTAATACCCCTAACAAAAAAGTGACATTATAAAATGAATTTTAACATTTCAAATTGTGTTTTAGACATTCTTAAATATGCTTTTTACCTTATAAAATGTGTTTTGGCTATTTGAAGTAATTTTTTATGTTTTGGACCATCTTAATTTTTTTTATTTTTTATATTTTAAATTATTCTTAATTCACTTTAACAACATAAAATGTATTTTTGAAATTTTAAATTGTGTATTTACGAATTTTGAACATTTTTAATAAAATATTACCACGCCATTGTAAAAAAATACTTATTCAAAATGTATATCTCACCTATTCCAGAAAACGTTCCTTTCTTCTTATTGGACCTTTTTTTAGGCAAATGCTCCATCTGATTTACATCCAGGTCTAAATAAAAAAAAACAAAAAAAATAAATAACAATAGTTTTTTATACAAACAAAAAACTTACCATGGTTTATTACTCTACAAGTGACCAAGTGCTGTAGCAAGATTGCTCTTAACGGGAAAGGTTGCTTGCACAAGTGGCAGATGTGTCCGTTGGTTTCTTCCATTTCCTTAAGATCTTCTTCGGTTTGGTGAAGTTCTTCTTCGCGATACCAGGCCTTGGAATCTTCGTCTCCCTCGTCGTCAAAATCTGATGATGGGTCGTTGTCCACCACTACATTAATCCCTGGGGAAAAAAGGTATTAGAAAAATATACAAGGTGCACCAATTGTCCTTCTATGTATGGGTATATTTTTTATTTGAAGAACTAGGAAAAAGATGCGTTTATGTTTATGAAAATGGCGTTTGAAAATTGGAAGGATAACCAGCGGTTTTTAAATAATCTGAAAAGTTTTACATGTAAACATACACATGTATCTTAGATTCTACATATTTATTTAATTCGTGATTTTTTTGTCCATTAGTTTTTTTCAAGAATCTCTGGTTAGTTATTTTTTTTTTCAAGAATCTCTGGTTATTTTATGTATTTTTTTAAATAAGTCATTTAGTTATTTTTATATACTTATCAAAAAAATTATCTTTGACATTAATATTTAACATTTTATTAAATTGTATTTTAGACATTCTTAAATACATTCTAAATTGCATTTTTCGTATTCTATAATGTTTTTTATTTTTAAATGTTTGTCTTTCTAGTTATTTGACATAAAATAAATTTTAACATTTTAAAATAAATTTTAACATTTTTAAATAAATTTTAACATTTTAAAATAAATTTTAATGTTTTAAAACGATTTTACCTTCCAATTGCATTTTTGACATTCTAAAATGTATTTTTGTTTATTTCAAATAAGTCTGTCTTTCTAGTTATTTTTATATTTGACATTTTAATATTTTAAATTGTATTCTAGACATTCTTAAATTTGTGTTTTAGAATATAAAATGTGTTTTGGCATTCAGATTTTTAATGATTTTAGACGATTTTACCTTCTAAATTGCATTTTTGACATTGTAGAATGTACCTATTTTTGTTTATTTCAAATAAGTCTGTAATTCTAGTTATTTTTATATACTTAATAAAAAAATGCTTTTTGACGTTCTAAAACGAATTTTAACATTTTAAATTGTGTTTTAGACATTCATAAATTTGCTTTTTACAATATAAAATGTGTTTTGGCACTTTAAAGTTATTTTTAATGTTTTTTGACGATTTTCAATTGCATTTTTGACATTTTAAAATGTATTTTTGTTTATTTCAAATAATATCCTTAACAAAAAATTGCTCTTTAGCATTCAAAAATGAATTTCGACATTTTAAATTGTGTTTTATACATTCTTAAACACACTTTGATTTTAAGACGATTTTATCTTTTTAATTGCATTTTTGACATTCTAAAATGTATTTTTGTTTATTTTAAATAATACATTCTAAAATAAATTTCAACATTTTACATTGTGTTTTAAACATTCTTAAATAAGCTTTTTACAATACAAAATGTGTTTTGGTTCTTTGAAGTTATTTTTAATATTTTTAGACTATTTAAAATTGCATTTTTGACATTCTAAAATGAATATTTTTTAATTATTCATTATTCTAGGTATTTTTTATATCCTCAACAAAAAATTGCTCTTTGACATTCTAAAATGAATTTAAACCATTTAAATTGTGTTTTATACATTCTTAAATACGCTTTTTACAATTTAAAATGTGTTTTGGCACATATTATTAACTTCTAAATTGCATTTTTTCTAGTTATTTAAAAAAAATAGCTCTTTAACATTCCAAAATGAATTTTAACTATTTAAATTCTTAAATATATTATTTTTAATATGTTTTTTGACGATTTTAACTTCTAAATTGCATTTTTTAAAGTTATTTTGATACGCTTAACAAAAAATTGCTCTTTTAACATTATAAAATGAATTTTTTAACATTATAAAATGAATTTTAACCATTTAAATATGCTTTTTACAATATAAAATGTGTTTTGGCACTTATTATTATTATTATTTTTAATACTTTTGGAAGATTTTAAATTGCATTCTTGAGATTCTAAAACCATTCTATGTAGTTATTTGATATCCTTAGCACAAAAAGTTTAATATTTTTAATATGCTTTTACAATATAAAATGTGTTTTGGCACTTCAAAGTTATTTTTAATGTTTTAAGACAATTTTATCTTCTAAATTGAGTTTTTGACATTCTAAAATGTTTATTTCAAAAAAGCATGCCTCTCTGGTTATTTTAGTATCCATAACAACAAAAATGCTGTATTTAAATAAGCTTTATCTATTTTGCGTTCATAATGACTTCATAATAACACCGCTTTCGGTGCTGTAATGAAATACTTTATCCCACCCAAATTTTTTATTTTATAGGTTGGCTATACTTTAAACACCATAATATTTTGCATATTGGTTATAATATTTTTATGATTTTTCTAGTACTTACGAGACTTTTCTGGCATTCAATTTTGTTTAACACCAAAGAAAATCCTTTTTTTCTTTTTTAACATTAACAGCCGCTTATTGTAAATAAGTAAATTAAGGACGGCATGGCGAATCGATTTTGACCTTAACTGTCAACTGTGATACCAACTATCTAAAGTAAAATTCGACCAAATTAAATTTAAGGTATAAAATTAATTTTTTTTATAGAATTTTTGCAAAATAGATAAAAATAGCATAAAGAACTCATGTCATAAGACCTTTTGTCGCACTCGTCAACGTGCGACAAAATGACGTCTTATGACATTATAATAAACTATAGTTCTTTAATATACTATTTTACCATACAATACAAAATGTGTTTTGTCACTTTTAAGTTATTTTTGAAGTTTTTGGACGATTTTAAATTGAATTTTACACAATCCAAAATGTTTTGAGATCCCCTGGGTATTTTTCCAATTTTTAAATTTAATTTTAATACGCTTATAATTACGCAACTTTTCCCTGATATAACTGACCTTGTAACTCTACAAAAATACCCACAATTAATGCAGAACCCCTTAAATCCCTAATTTTTTTGTTTGTAACAAACTTTATTAAAAAAAAAAAGAGAAATAATATGTTCAATAATTTTCGAATTTTAAAATTCTTTTTTACCCTGAAATTCCTAATGTATGTATGTCTTGACATTTTCAAATGGTGTGTTGCATGTTTTGCAAACAAATTTAACAGAACCACAACAAGGAACCCTTTTGAAAATAATAACAATTCTTACCTTCCATGAAGTCTTCAGGCTCGCTGAACTCGTCATTAACCAACTCCTCCTTGGGACTGTGCACATCGCGCATGTGCTGCTCGAAAGTTTTCTGCCTCCTGAACGTCTTGTTGCACTCCATGCAGGTCAGGCACAGCAAACTGCTCAGCAAGCTTTCCGGCTCCTTCTTGTCGACCGACGGCGAGCGCTCCGACGCCGGGGGAGGAGACGCGGGCGGCGACGCCGAGCGGCGGTTTCTCTGAGCCTTGGGTTCCGGCGACGGCGGCGGCGGTTTTTTCTCGGCCTTCTCCCTTTTCGGGTGCGGCGGCTCTTTGCCGGCGCCGCCGAGGCCGCCGGCGGAGGGCGGCTCGTAGTGCCGTTTCAGATGCTCGAAGAATCTAGTCGAAAATACCCGCAATATACAATATGTTTTAAAAATGTTGCCAGGCCGTTTTCAGAACAATTTTTGTTAATAAAAGTTTGATGAAATGTTGTACAAACATTAAGCGAAAAATATTTTTATAACTTTAACGCGTAAATATTTCTGAAACATTCATAAATATCACGTAATTTTTCAACATTTTTAACATTTTGGCACTTTTATGCTTAGCAAAAAATTGCTCTTTAACATTCTAAAATGAATTTTAACCATTTAAATTGTGTGTTTAAATATTCGTAAATATGCTTTTTACAATTTAAATTGTGTTTTGGCACTTTTTGGTCGATTTTAAATTGCATTTTGACATTCTAAAATGTATTTTTTAATTTTTAACTAAATTTTTTATTCTAGTTATTTTGATATCCTTAACAAAAATTTGCCCTTTGACATACTAAAATTAATTTTAAATTGTGTTTTAAATATTCTAAAATATGCTTTATACAATATAAAATCGGTTTTGGCACTTTGAAGTTATTTTTAATGTTTTAGATAATTTTACCTCCTAAATTGCATTTTTGACAATCTAAAATGTATGTTTTTAAATTTTTAAATAAGCCTCTCGTTCTAGTTATTTTAATATGCTTAACAAAAAAGTACTCTTTGACAATCTAAACTAAATTTTAACATTTAAATTGTGTTTTGGGCATTCTTAAATATGCTTTTTAGAATATAAAATGGGTTTTGTCACTTTGAAGTTATTTTAAATGTTTTAGATGATTTTACCTCCTAAATTGCATTTTGACATTCTAAAATGTATGTTTTTAAATTTTTAAATAAGCCTGTAGTTATTTTAATATCCTAAACAAAAAAGTGCTCTTTGACAATCTAAAATAAATTTTAACATTTTAAATTGTGTTATGGCACTCTTTTTTTTTATATTTTTGGTCGATTTTAAATAGCATTTTTGACATTCTAAAATGTATTTTTTCAATTTTTAACTAAATTTTTCATTCCAGTTATTTTGATATCCCTAACAAAAAATTGATCTTTGACATTCTAAAATAAATTTTAAATTGTGTTTTAGACATTCTAAAATATGCTTTTTACAATATAAAATGTGTTTTGGCACTTTGAAGTTATTTTTAATGTTTTTGGACGATTTTACCTTTAAAATTGCATTTTTGACATTCTAAAATGTATTTTTGTTTCAAATAAATTTTAACCATTTAAATTGTGTTTAGGACATTCTTAAATATGCTTTTTACAATATAAAATGGGTTTTGTGACTTTAAAGTTATTTTTAATGTGTTAGATGATTTTACCTCCTAAATTTCATTTTTGACATTCTAAAATGAATGTTTTTAAATTTTTAAATAAGCCTGCCGTTCTAATTATTTTACTATACTTAACAAAAAAGTGCTCTTTGACAATCTAAATTATATTTTAACATTTTAAATTGTGTTTTGGCACTTTCAATTTTTTTTTTAATATTTTTGGTCGATTTTAAATAGCATTTTTTACATTCTAAAATGTATTTTTTCAATTTTTAACAAGTTTTCATTCCAGTTATTTTGATAGCCCTAACAAAAAATTGATCTTTGACATTCTAAAATAAATTTAAAATTGTGTTTTAGACATTCTAAAATATGCTTTTTACAATATAAAATGTGTTTTGGCACTTTAAAGTTATTTTTAATGTTTTTGGACGATTTTACCTTCAAAATTGCATTTTTGACATTCTAAAATAAATTTTTACCATTTTAATTGTGTTTAGGACATTCTTAAATATGCTTTTTACAATATAAAATGGGTTTTGTCACTTTAAAGTTATTTTTAATGTTTTAGATGATTTTACCTCCTAAATTGCATTTTTGACAATCTAAAATGTATGTTTTTAAATTTTTAAATAAGCCTGTCGTTCTAGTTATTTTAATATACTTAACAAAAAAGTGCACTTTGACAATCTAAAATAAATTTTAACATTTTAAATTGTGTTTTGTCACTCAAGTTATTTTTAATGTTTTTGGTCGATTTTAAATTGCATTTTTGACATTCTTAAATGTACTTTTTTAACTTTTAACCAAGTTTTTTATTCTAGTTATTTTGATATCCTTAACAAAAAATTGCCCTTTGACATTCTAAAATGAATTTTAACATTTTAAATTGTGTTTAAGACATTCTGAAATATGCTTTATACAATATGAAATGTGTTTTGGCACTTTAAAATAATTTTTATATTATATATTTTTATTATGTTTTTGGACGATTTTACCTTCTAAATTGCATTTTTGACATTCTAAAATGTATTTTTGTTTATTTCAAATAAGTAAAATAAATTTTAGCCATTTAAATTGTGCTTAGTTAATATTAATATTATTTAGTTATTTTTAATGTTTTAAATGATTTTACCTCCTAAATTGCAAATTTTAACATTTTAAGTTGTGTTTTGGCACTTTCAAGTTATTTTTAATGTTTTTGGTCGATTTTAAATTGCATTTTTGACATTTTAAAATATTTTTTTTAATTTTTAACCAAGTTTTTTATTCTAGTTATTTTGATATCCCTAACAAAAAATTGATCTTTGACATTCTTAAATGTTATGTTTTAGACATTCTAAAATATGCTTTTTACAATATAAAATGTGTTTTGGTACTTTGAAGTTTTTACATAGATGATTTTACCTCGTAAATCGCATTTTTGACATTCTGAAATTTATGTTTTTAAATTTTTAAATAAGCCTGTTGTTCTGGTTATTTTAATATATTTAACAAAAAAGTGCTCTTTTACAATCTAAAATAAATTTTAACATTTTAAATTGTGTTTTGGCACTCTCAAGTTTTGTAATGTTTTTGGTCGATTTTAAATTGCATTTTTGACATTCTTAAATGTACTTTTTTAATTTTTAACCAAGTTTTTTATTAAAATAAATTTTAACCATTTAAATTATGTTTAGAACATTTTTAAATATGCTTTTTGCAATATAAAATGCGTTTTGGAACTTATAAATATATTTATTTAAGTTATTTTTAAGGTTTTTGGACGATTTTACCTTCTAAATTGCATTTTTGACATTCTAATGTATTTTTGTTTATATCAAATATAAAATATTTAGTTCATTTAGCAAAAATATTTTAAATATATTTTTGTGTTATGTGCTTAGTAAAAATCGAAACAAACAGCAAATCGAAAACTCACCTCAACTGATCCGTAAAAGGCGTCTCGCACAGCTGACAATTGAAACTCATGGGTGTCACCGGAGTGATCGTTGTTTGGCACAGAATTTCGTGTTGGTGAAACTCGTCGGTGGAGGTGAACGATTGCTCGCACAAATTGCACGTTATCTTTTTGCTGTTCGGCGCGCAATTTTTCTTCAGTTTACGCGATATGCGCTTTTTGTGCGGCAAAGATTTCTTCGATGAACGATTTTCATTCCTAAAAAAAAGTTTTTTACCATTCTTGAAAAAGGTCAACTTTGGTGATATGTTAAACAAAAATTAGAAATATTTCCCAACACAAAAACAAATGAAGTTACACTTCGCTTCTGAAGATGTTGGAGAAAAGTACATTAAGCACTTTTTGTTTTGTTTTGGTGTTGGGGTATATAATATACCGTATATTTCTAATATAAGTTTTTTACCATTCAAATATGTTTTTAAAAGTTAATGACATTCTAATTACAATATTTAAAATTGTACAGTTCTTTCTTGAAAATTTTAAACGCCATTTATGGATTGCAATTACTAGATCCCTCATCCAACACCAATTGGTAAAATAAATTTGTCTTGTGAGTAATAGAATATTAGTTTTGTCATGACTTAAAAATAAAGTTTATTTTTCTGCATGCTCTATGTTTAATGATATGAATGTATGATATGTTATGTGATTTAGTTTTCTAAGGATTAAAAAAAATCTTTAAATTTTTTTTTGATTTTCTTTACAAAACTTATAAAGTATTGGATCCACCTGGGTTGATGTTGAACCCTGCTGGATTGCAATTCATATTCTAGTCACGAATTTAATTTAGACACGAGCGAGCTTGCGAGCGAGTGCTTAATTAAATGAGTGTCCAGGAAAGTTTATAAACGAGTTGCATACTATACTTTTTCTATTTAAAAATTACTAAAAAATGATTTAAATTAAATATTTGTATAGAGCGACATTTACAGTGTGACCCATTTGTTTGCGACTCACTCCTGTAAAATCTTTATTTATGCTGCGATTTTAACCGGATTTGTTTTAAAGTGTAGATCTTAATAAACTGTATTTTTGGAGCAAAAAACGCCATATTTGTACAAAATACAAGGCCTACTATGTCAGTTTTTAAGAGTAAATTTTTAAGAATTCATATTAGCGATTTTTTCAAATAAAATCTAAACACGGCACTGGATTCACAACCCCTCAAAACGACCCTTTTCTAAATTTTATTGAAAAATGCACAATAATAACAACAAAAATTTATTTTGTCAAGTTATCCATGAAAAAACAATGAAATAAAATTAAACTAATAGTACTTTCATAAAATAAGACAAAATGGCAGAAAGACCATTAAACTAATAAAGGTTTTTTTAATAATAATAATAACAAAATAAACTTTATTGGATTACTCCAAAAGGCTAACAACCTTAGTCTTTCTGCCTATTTACAATAAATATTCATTTACAACACATTTATAATATTTTTTGGGACTAATAAGTTTATCACTAAAATTCATTAAATGCTATATATATATAGATATATTTCTTTATTTAAGACAAAAGTAGCATTAAACTGACATCATAACCTCAATTATATGTATTCAAATGTCAAGGAACTCACAGATAGGCAATTTTTGATTATGCAAGTTTGACATTCTTTAAAATATGTTTTTCAATTAGATATACATATATTTACCTTACAGATTCGCCGTCAGAATCCTTCTTTTCCTCCTCCGATTTAACAGACAAAGTTATACCAGAAGACTCAGTGAAACTGTGCACAACTGTACTAGCCCCTGCTTTAGAAGTAAAACTCCTATTATCCACCAACTTGGGCAAATTCTGCTTTTCAACATAAAGATTATCGGAACCCACAATATGCAGATACCCATTATTGCCAGATTTATCCAAAATGATTTGCTGATCGTCCAGAATTTTTCCCCCTACAATGGAGGGTAGAGCGGTCGTCGTGCCCACGTTATCCTGCAGTTGTTGGTGTTTTTGCTGGTGATTCAGCTGCACAGCCACTAAAGCTGCAGCCAAGTTGCGATCTTCTTCTGTTAGGTCTTGTGATAACAAATCTTCTGAACTGTAGTTAACTGGTATGAATTCACTTCCAGATATATCGACTACAAGACCATGTTGTGTTTGCAGTAACTCGTTATTTATTATGTATTGGGACGCTGTTTGTCCCACATCGTTTATTACAACATGATCAAGCAATTCTCTGTTTCCCGATTGATCCATTGTTGGATGATTTCTGTAACAAATATTCATATAAATGACATTTCTCGTACATCTTAGTGTAAAAATGCATGTTTTAATTTAAAATTATTTATTTGACTGTTTATTTTCCTATAAGAAAGACTGTATTGGTATTCGAATTAAAATTCTGTTTGTAATTGGCGCCATTTTTGTGGCGTTGACATAGCCGTTCAAGGTCACTCATCTATGCCATTTTAATGCTATTTTGTGGTCAAAATTGCGGGTAAAAAACTTTCACTCACCCTTTGCCTGTATTACAAACGGCCTAGAGAACGGTTTTTCTTTTCGCCAGAACGCAAAATATTTCACATAACGAGAAATAACGTTCAAAACATTAGAAAATTCTACAAATATGACAACAATGTACTCTCGACGCCATTCGCTTGCGCTGCCAACTTAACGCCGCGATACCAACATGACGGCATAAAAATTACAATCGCCCAGCAACGAAATTTTTGGAATTTAATGATTTTTATTGGAATAAGATTAATAATAGAGTAATTGCATCAAAAATGAAAATCCCTAAAAACCTTTTTAATGTAATCTAGAGGTAAAAACACATTGCAAAAATATTTTTTTATATTCCAAAAGTTCAACCCGGCCCCAAAATATCAAATTAAAAAAAAGGTACTTTTCAAACGTTCCGAACTCCCGCCATATTGCATGACGTCATAAGCTCCAACTGTCAGAAATCAAGATGTCAACAAATAATAAACACCGATAAAGTTTAACATGGAAAACGCGAAACCAAAAATTGGTTGTAAATATTGTTTTGTGCCTTGTTGTACAAATACAACCTGGAAAACTCCTGGGAAAGTTGTCCCTTCAATTATCAAAAGCAAAGTTTATGACCCTACACTGAGAGTAGTTACGGCTCAGCCGTATTTTCTTGGGTTTATTAATATTTAACATACCTATTCAAACCATATACCTAGTAAACGACATTTTATTTTACTTACATTAAAATGATCCTTAAAATGATCAATAAAATGTTGACTGCGGTGACGATGTTTTGATATCGCGCCGAGCTATTTTAATCCACTTTATCCTTATTTTCCCTTTTGGCACGGTGATAAACCTTTTCCCAGGAGTTTTCCAGGTTGTATTTATACAAGGCACAAAACAATATTTACAACCAATTTTTGGTTTCGCGTTTTCCATGTTAAACTTTATCGGTGTTTATTATTTGTTGACATCTTGATTTCTGACAGTTGGAGCTTATGACGTCATGCAATTTGGCGGGAGTTCGGAACGTTTGAAAAGTACCTTTTTTTCAATTTGATATTTTGGACCCGGGTTGAACTTTTGGAATATAAAAAAATATTTTCGCAATGTGTTTTTACCTCTAGATTACAATAAAAAGGTTTTTAGGGATTTTCATTTTTGATGCAATTACTCTATTTCACATTATTTGCAAACAAAAGAATTATTTTGTTATTCTACAGCTTATTTTAGGGTTAATTATTTTTTAAGCGTTAAATTTTAAAATTCAATTTTTTGTTGAAATTTAGTAAAAAATTGGTCACATCTTCATATAATCATGTTACCTTATTTTTTCGACTGATTTTATAGGCCTCTTTTTTGTTTTCGCCATGGTAACCAAAAAAACTTCTACGATTTGAAAGTGAGGTTATAATCATTCAAATAAAATGGAAAATGTTGAAATAAAACAAGAATTATTGGATGACAATGTTATTTTAGAGGAAAATAACAATATGAGTTCTGCAGAGAGCGTGAATATTAAACATGAAGAAGATATTGGGGATGATTCGTAAGTAAATGAAAAAAAAAGCAAAAATGGTCAAATAACGCATTTTTTAGGGAAATTGAAAAAAAAATTGTAGCCAAAAAATACGTAAGGAGGAAAATAATGCAATGTACTGTATGTTTGTATGAAACAACCCACTCAGGTCATTTAAATAGACATATAAAATATGTACATAACTTAAACAACAACGAAACCCACAAATTTAAATGTGAAAAATGTTCATACAAAACCCATTTCAGGGAAAACTATACTAGACACAACCTAACACACTCAAAAAGCGTACGTAAAGTGGAAAAAGTTAAATGTACAGAGTGCAATTTTGAAACAGTTCATAAAGTTTCTTTAAAGCGACATTTAAAATTGCATAAGAAATTGGAAGAAATTGAACATTTTACGTGTTTGCACTGTAAATATAAATCAAGGTTTAAGAGGAAAATTCGTAATCATGTTTTAAGGCATTTAGATAATGCAGAGCTATTTAAATGTGGAAAATGTAAATTTGAGACAAAGTTCAAAGATAATTTAAGAAAACATGCAAAATTGCATAAGAATTGATGTGTATGTTCTTATTTTGTGATAAATGGAGTATTATTTTATTTTTTATTTAGGTGTAGGTTAAGATTTGTTAAGTTTAATTTTTTTAAATATTTTCTTTAAAGATGTTTTTTATAAGTACCTTTTATATTTTAAAGGGATTAGGTACCTATCTTAAAAATTTCAATATGTTTAAATTCCTTATATTTTAAGATCTGATATTTAATAAGGGGAAGGCAATACATTATTAAAACTCTATTAAAAATATAAACATTAAATTACAATTGTAATTGGAGGTAATTTTGTAAGAAAATAGGTACTCAAGATTTTGAAATATGATAATTTTAAATATTTTTGGCTAGATTTATGGCGCCTATATAGGTATGCAAATTAATATTTAAACCTTTATTAAATTAAAAAGATTATCTTTTTAACAATTTTTATAATAATGATTTACTTTACCAAAGGTTTATTAAATAAATGTTTTCTATTAAATTATTTTATTTCTATATCCTATAATTTATCGGTTTATGTGTAACCTGGGTTGTCTACATACAGGTAATAAAATGTTCTTTGCAAAAATTATGCTGGAACCAGAGATATAGATATATCTCTGGCTGGAACTTAAGAAAGAAATTATTGAGACGCTTTTTAAATTTAAGTGGCATTACACAAAATTGACAAGTGCTTCAATTTTTTCTTGCTTTTACAATACGGTAGAATCTATACAAACATTGTCACGAAAATAGTACAATTAGTACAATTTATTAATATATAAATGCTCTATATCTAAAACTATGCATTTTTTTATTATAGCCCAATCGAATGGACGATTTTTTGAGGTACTAGACTTTTTTCAAAAGTTAATGCTTTTCTATGTACAAAACGGCTTTAATGAGCCAGTTCGTTCTACCCTAGATTTTTAGGTACTCCGTAGTTTTTTTAAATTATTTTCATTGCAAGTGCCCTACAAAAATTAAAGTAAATTAAATAACTACTGCAGCATGCTTTTTATAAAAATGTAGTTTATGCCAATTTCCCACAAATTTCTTGTTAGCAGTTACTGCCTTTCTTCATAGTAGGGCAGTATTGGTATACATTGTAATTATGCCTAATTACAAAAATAAAACAAAAATAATTAAAATTCATTTTTTTAGGGTTGCTTTAAAAAAACTGACCTTTTATGCATTTCTTATAAATATGCATTGAATGACAATGAATAAAAGTAAAGGTCAAGATTATTCAAGCAATGAGTTTTGGTAAATTTAAACCAGTATTCGAAAAAATCGCCATTTCTGGTTTGTGTACATATTTTCGAATAATAAGAAGGCACAAAAATGTTATAATTAAGTTTTGTGAAGGACAATGCAATTAATTTAATGTTGTTTTCCTACGTTTTTTAATTTTATACGATACATGTAGGTAGTCATTTGTGTTTGTCCGATTGAGCTATACCTACGTACTTATACCGTACGGTATTGTGTTTTTTGGTAAGTGCTTTTATTTTGGGTCGGTTTACTATGAATACTGTTAACCCTAATAATTAGGGCCTAACAGTTAGACTTGTTGACGACAAAACATTATCATTAAACTAATTTATAAATATATTTTTTTTAATTTGTACCTTTGTACATTATAATTATAATTAAGTTTTTATTAAGCATATATTTATAAGTTAAAGTTATATGGTAGGTATTAGATAATAATGTAATTTTATAAAATTGGTTATTACCGCGTTATGAACGTTATTACTTTATAAAATGTTACTTATACATTTTTTTAGGAAACTTTGGATTAATATTGATCTATTGTGGTAAAATTTGAAACTTGCATTTGAAACAAAAATTTTCACACACGCACTTTTCTGTTGTAGACCCGATATTGGAATATTATCAGGGGGACCCAAAAGGGGGGGCATGGGGCATCGTCCCCATTTTATTTTTTAAGTTATAACTTATTTACCTTAATGAGTATTTTAGTTTCATTTTATGAGTTATCATTTAATTTTACACAAAAAGGTATTTTTGTTTAAAAAGTCTTAAACAATTGTTACGGTTTAAACCGTTTTTAAGTTTTTGTTTTGCGTAATTCCTTTAGCATTTTAAACCCCATGTTCTAATGAACATTTTTTTATATTTTACGATGAAGAATCAATAGTTCACCCAAAAATTTTATCTACACTGCCCGTCAAAATTAACGCATAATAAGTAAAAAAATTCTAACTCTAAAACGCATTTACCAATCTTTATGAAATTTTGTACAAAAATCCTTCAACTTATATCTCAGTTTACGTGTTCGAGGGTTTTTCGAGAAAATATTTTTAAAGCTCTTTTATTTAATAATTAAAAAAAGTTCGAAAAATAACTTTAAGGGAATTTTTTTGAAGTAAATAAAAAATATGCTGTTAAAGACCGTATTTTCGTTGGTATACCCTGAAAATTTTGTACAAATCAAACGAACAGTAACGCTGTATTTTCGTTTGATTTGTACAAAATTTTTAGGGTATACTAACAAAAATACGGTCTTCCACATTATTTACTTAAACAAAATTCCCAAAAAGTTATTTTTCAACGTGTTTTTTATTACTAAAAAAAGGGATTTAAGGATATTTTTTCGAAAAACCCTTGAACACGTAAACTGAGATATAAGTTGAAGTATTCTTATACAAAATTTCATAAAGATTGGTAAAGGCGTTTTAGAGTTGGAATTTTGTTACTTCTTATGCGTTAATTTTGACGCGCAGTGTATTAAACAATGGTTTGTTATTTTTGTTGCATGGCTTATGTTTGCCAAAGATAATTCCTTAATATACATATTTCAATGCACAAACACTTAATAGAAAAATGCCAAACAAGTAAAAAAAACTTATTATTCGTATATTTTAATTTATGTGTACGAGTAAAGTTCAAATAAATAATCGCTGTATACACAAGTAATGGTTTAGATTTTACACATGTTGTACCATATTCTATATTTAGTAAGTACATTCAAATAATTTAATATTAAATAATTATTATTTTTAATATCCCAAGCAGCATTTTTGGTTCCAAAAACCATAACCAAAGTGGTGATATAACTTTAAATTAGTTAAGTATACTAAACAGCTAACTTTTAAATAGCAATATTTTGTAACAGAAACTTCATTATTTCCTTAAATGGTTACTATAAAGTAATAAACATTTAAGTAAAACTTGGTTGCCCCCAAGAAGACTTTGCAACCTTAAAAAAGGTGTTATAAGTAAAAAATAAGTAAATTTAATTTGTAGCAGTTACTTTCGGTTGCTACCTAAAGATTACATTATAATTAATTTTACTTTGTAGTCCCTTTGCAAGTTAAAATCTCGAAACTGGAACATGACTTAAAAACTACAAAGTTAACAACTTAAAAGTTATTATTTTAGTATTTGGAACGTTTATGGTACTAACCAAAACTACCGTAAAGTAAATTAAGGTGGAAAAAAACTTCAAAGTAGCGAAAACTACTTTAAAGGAAAATGCTTCTTATGTACATATATGGCAATGAAAATAATAAATTATTATAATTGTTTGTAAATGGTTGTTTACTTTTTAATAAGTAGTAATTCTGTTGGTATTAGACGGTATTAATAATTAAGTAAAAAATTAATAATAAATATTAAGATTTTTTAATTTATAAACATTATTAAATAAATAATTTGATTATCCTTAAATATTGATGAAGCGTATTTATTTTACAAAAACTAAATTCATAAGTTCAACAGTAAAATTTAAAGGGTTTATAAATTTACCTGCCCAATTAAACATTATATTGTTATTCTGGAAGTTATAAACTACCAGTACATATTTAATAAACGACGACATTGAAAATCCAAGTCCGTAGTGGTTCCATTTAAAAAAGGAGGGATAGTATAATCTAATATAAGTTTGACAAATACAGTTAATATAGAAGTAAAAACAAATAAATAAAAGTAATTATAACTCTCTAGCAACGATATTGAAACGTTACAGTAACGTAGCAGCTACGTTCAAAATAGTAGTAGGGTTTATAGCTAGTGACACATTTTTTACCTTTTTGGAACTCAATAATTGTTCCCCACTTTAGTCGTAACTTGGTAATGAAAGAGTAATATATGTAAAGAGACCGGCGACTGTCGCAAAACACTTTAAGTTTCTTCAATAGTCCCATATACGTAACAAATACTTAAATTGTTGCTTGGGATTAATTAATTAAAATTAATCCCTTTGTAATTAACGAGCGATCTTGAGAAGTGTATAAAAAGAATTGCACCATACTTATCTACGACAAACGGGTTAACCTCACTTTTTCCCAATCTGACATCTGTCAAACGGGTTTAACCTCACTTTTTTCCAATTTAATGAATGGGTATATAAAACTACTTTTTAAAAAATTTTCAGAATTTCAAAAATACGAAATTAACTTTTATGTTAACAAGCCATGAAATCTTAGCTATTTCTTGTGCACACAGCAATAAGTGCTCCATTTATTCATTTAAATACGCATCTTATCAGTTACATTCGTAACAACAACAATTGATAAATATAAATAGATAAATAATATATCAAACATATTACCATTTTGGTTGTAATTTTTTAGCAATGAAGTCTGCACAAGAATTAGTGGCATCGGCGAGAAACGCTTTTAACAATGGCAAAACGAAATCGCGGGAGTTTAGGGAAAAACAACTGCAGAATTTACTGAGACTGGTGGAAGAAAATGAACTGGAAATCATGGAAGTCCTTGCCGACGACTTGAAAAAACCCAAAGCCGAAGCTTGCCTAGCAGAAATAGCCTACTTAAAAAACGACGTTAAAGGTATGCAGCCACTAAGTACTTAAATAAATACAAAAATATGTAATAAACATTTTCATAGGGTACCTCTACAGTTTAAAGGAACTTATGGAACCGGAATATGTCGAAAAACCTCTGCCAAACGTAATGGATACAGTTTTAATCCACCCCGAACCCTATGGGGTCTGTTTAATCATAGGCGCTTGGAACTACCCCATACAACTGACCTTATCGCCGCTCACAGGTAAAAATTAGATAAAATCTATGGGATTTAAATGGATTTAGTTAATCCCATCATCGTGTTAAACTTTCAGAATTTAGGTTTTGTTGCTTCTCAGATATCTGTTATCTGATTAAACGATGGACAATTTGTAAAATGCAGCTTTTTTTTCAAGCGAATAAAATTTTTTGTATGTTCAAAAGTCACATTATTATACACAGCCGTACAATAACAAAAATACATTGAAACTACATAGGACCAGTGGTTCCATCTATCGCGTTAAGCATTACATAAGAAAATGTAAACTTACAGGTCACTGTAGAATAAATTTATGTACATAACCTATAATATAACATACGTCAAACTTCAAACGTCAAACCTGACAAAATGTCGATAACTATAAGTGCAGAATTATTAAAGGCTTGAAAAAAAATAGTATATACAACACGGCGGAAAAAGCATATTAACTGCCTCGCTGAGATCTCTTTAAATTTTTTCAATCTGTCATTATTTATTTTATTAAAGTTACAAATACATGATGAGTCATTTAACTTGAAACTTTAAAAGATCTCAGTTAGTATGCATATAACGAAAAAATGTTTAAAATAAAAATATTTTTTCATATTTGTAATAGATGGCGCTGTAAAGAAAAAAAATCAATTTTGTTCGATTTTTCTTCTGTATACGATTCTCCAATAATTTTTAATAAATTTATTTAAATAGGTATTTATTTAAATAGGAACTTGATTTTATTTTTTAAATTTATTTATTTATTTCGTTTTAATATTCTAATACTGCTCTGGGATATTCCCAAATCTCTAGATAATTCTCGTGTGCTTGCATGAGGATTAGCGGCCGTTGCTGCTAGTACATTAATTTCATTATTTTCACCTGTGACTGTTGCTCGAGGAACTCTTTTTTTTTTCGGTTAAACACTCCCGTTTGTAGTAAACTGCTTCACTGTACGGTGAAATGAAATACGTGATCAATTTTTTTCCGGAAAACGCTGAGCGTAGATATTAACAGCATCATCAAGATTCCTGCCTGCTTCTCCATAAATCAAAATCATTTCTATTTTTTCTTCCACTGTTAAAAAATCCATTATAAATAACTGCTTAACGAAAGGAGGTCTTTTTGTTTGCAAATTAATTCTGGAACTAAATTGATTAAATAATGCTAAACTATGTATAAATGGTTTCTTTATACCTCAATAATAATTATTATTTATAACTAAATAGCATTTTTTTATACCTCAATCATGATTAAATTAATTAATTGACAAAATAATGTTTTATTGTCTTAAATGAGGTATTTTTATTAAAAATAGTACAATAATCCTTTAGATTAAAGGATTTAATGCTGACAGGTAAAAAGTGACCATGGTGCGCAATTAATAATTATCACCGAATGAAATAATGTATAAAACTTAAACGAAAGGAAACCTAAATATTAGTTAAACAATCGTGGGTACTATAAAAATCAGATTTAATTTAATAAGAAAATTATTACCAAAAAAAGTGATATTTTTATAGAAAAATTATTGCAGAATCGTATAAAAAGAAAAATCGAACGAAATTGATTTTTTTTTCATTACAGCGACATCTAATACACATATGAAAAAAGTTTTAGACAAAATCTACCTATTTTTAGTCGAATGATCCGAATCTACGATAAAAAATAGGGTGTTCCATTGGAAATTTTAAAGTTGCCCACTGTTCCCCCTATAAGGAGGAGAGTATGGGGACCAATTTTAGTACTGATTGATTTCCCCCCTCGAATCATTTAATTTTTATTTTAAACATTTTTTCTTAAAATGCAAACTAACATTCTGTATTTACATGTTATTTTTTTGCAGCTGCCATTGCAGCTGGAAACTGCGCAGTCGTGAAACCCTCGGAGGTGGCTCCAGCTTCAGCGAAGCTGATTAGCAAACTCCTACCGAAATATTTGGACAACGAATGCTACCATGTGTATAATGGCGGGGTAGCCGAAACTACCGAATTGTTGAAGCAAAAATTCGATTACATTTTCTATACTGGCTCGCCGGAAGTTGGAAAAATCGTGTACCAAGCCGCATCCAAAAATTTAACTCCTGTTACCTTGGAGTTGGGAGGAAAATGCCCAGTAAGTGTTTTTCACCAAAGCTCACAAAATTTAATTCAAACACTGCAAATGTATACATACGAGGTGTGTTCAGAAAATATCGGGAATTTTCGTTTTTTGAAACAAATATTTATTTATTCGTCTACATTAATGTTGTCGCCTTCAAAATAGTCCCCATTGGATATTATGCACATGTGCCAGCTCTTCTTCCAATACTCGAAACACTTCTAAAACTCGATCTTTGGGATAGCCTTTAGTTCTTTCAGCGATGCGCTTTTAATGTCATCTATGCTTGCAAAACGACGGCCCTTTAAGGTTCTCTTTATTTTTGGGAATAGGAAAAAGTCAGACAGAGGCATGTCTGGCGAATATGAAGGCTGGGGCATCATTACAGTATTGTTTTTGGCCAAAAATGTTGTTCAAAATTTAACAATTTTAGAACAAATTTTGCTGCCACGCTTTTCATACCCAAAACATTCGAAAAAATTTCATGGGATGAGCCAATCGATATACCAACATCATCAGCAACTTCTCTGATGGTTTATAACCATTTATTCCACTATTTCCATGTTTTTATCGGTTGTTAATGTGCTTGTGCGTTCGGGGCGTTCGTCATCTTCAACGTCTTCACGGCCATCTTGGAAATTCTTATACCACTTGTAAACTCTTGTTTTACTTATAGCAGACTGAGTCTGCCAGACTCACTATAGGCATTTGTTAACATTTCACAGAATTTATTTCATTTTTTAAGCAAAATTGGATACAAATTCTTTGATCCATTTCTTTTAACGAACGAAAAATCGCCGAGCTCATAAAACACGTCTAACCTTAGCGGCTGCCATAGACAAAGTAAACAATGAAAACAGCTAAAGTTTTTATCATACTTCGGGGGCATGTATACCAACATATACCAACAAATAAAGAAAATTTTATGACAACCGGACCCTCCGAACCCGCGAAATTTAGCAATTCCCGTTATTTTCTGAACACACCTCGTACCTTAAAGAAGGACTTTTGGAACACCCTATATATATAGTATAGTACTGTTTTGACCTTGTATACTGTTAATATTAAAAATTTCTTTTAGGTTTACCTCGATGATACAGTAGATGTTGAATCTGCAGCTGCTAGAATCGTTTGGGGAAAATTTATGAACGCTGGTCAAACATGTATCGCACCAGATTACCTAATTTGCACCAAAGATGTCGAGACAAAGTTTGTCGAAGCTGCAAAAAAGAAAATCAAGCAATATTATGGCGAAAATGTCAAAAAATCGCCGGATTATTGCAGGATTATCAACAATAACCATGCGCAAAGGATTTTGAAGCTGATTGAAGGTAGGAAGTAGTCTAAAATCGCAATTTTGGTTATTCGTTACACTGAGAAAAATAAAGTGGTGATTCAAACGAAAACTGTTTATACATTTTAAATACAAACGGTAGTCTCAAAGATAGAGAGATTAGGTAGATTTGTTAAGTTTTGCATTTAACTATTTAAAATTTAAATTACTAATTTCCAAGTATTTTTTACAGTTTAAATAATATTAAACTTTAAAGCAATAATAATAATAATAATAATAACTCTTTATTTATTATTGACCCCAAAATTCAGTTTTAAAAACTGGTACCAGGGCCTAAAATGTTTATTTAAAATAATTATTTGTTAACATATCAAATTTGTCAAAGTAACATTATTTAAATCTTATTTTAAAATATTTATTTACTTGTATTAACGATTCTACAATATTCATCTAATACTTTTGCAATTTCAAATTAAAATGAAGAAACTCTTTAAGGAATGCATTATATATTTGTAAATTTAACAATTCTTATTATAGATTTTTGAGACCTATTATCATAATAAAATAGTATTTTAAAGCTTGGTTGTTTCTTTGTTAGTCTAGAATAGGGTTTTTGGGAAGCCACCAGGTCTAGTAATAACATAATTATTGTAACGTTTTTAACTGTTCGTAGTGTGAATTAAAACACGCACTGGTTAATTAACGAACTAAACTATTTATTTAATAACTTAACTACACTTAAAACACTATAAAACTAACTAAACACTTAACTACTAATTATTTATATCACTACTAGTTTATTTATTTGCACTTATATTTATTTATTTCGCCGCGAGTACCAAATCTTCACTAACTTGCTCTGTGCTGCTCCGTTTCTTATATATTACAGCACCAAGGTCTTCTGGAACATTCCAGCGAGCTCCACACTCTCGATTGTTCGAGCGCTGAGTCACCGGCGATGACTCATCGGCGATGACTAACCGGCGATGAGTCATCACTCCGATATCCAGAGCGGTACTCGCTACATTGCCCCCGTCTTAAAACATTTTCGTCCCGAAAATGGTCCTCAGCTCCATGGCGATATTTGCATAGAGATCCAAACTTGCATTGTGACGTCCTATAGAAGTAGCAGTCTACGGTCTTCCTTCCGGATGTTCTTTTAGGGTTGTGGCAACAGACAAGAATGTGTATGCCACTACATCTGAAGATAACTTCCACCATGCTTCTAATTATTCTCCAGTCTAAACCGTCAAGTCCACAAGCAATCTTCGGTATCGCCAGGTTCATGATGTCCTTGGACAAAAGGGTATCCCTCAATTTATTTAAGGCATTCCATACGTCACGGTAGTTTGGTTTATGATGGGAGAGCTGCTTCGTTACCAGATAGAAGATACTTCTATTGCCTATTTGCTCATTATCCACAATTTCAAGCACCTCTCCAACTTTGAGATTCTGCCTTCGTAGCTCGTCGACCCGTCCAAACTTGTTTTTAAAGACAACCGCTATTCCCCTGGACATCCTTAGGTCTTCTGCAACACAGTGAGCCAAGGAGTAATCGGCCGAAACCGTGAACAGATCTTTTTGTTCTTCTCGAGTGACACCATACCGAGCTTTTTTACCGCTCGAATATAAATACATGAAGTCTTCAAAAGGCAAGTCGTCTTCCGGCGGATTAACTCTCCTTACTCTAGCATCGTCTATTTGAGCATTGTTTCCAGCGTAAGGGGCCAATCGGTTGAAATGGATCACTTTCGGCTTTCCTCTTGGTTGTTTCCTGATCCTGTAGATGATGTCATTTATGCGATCCATGACTTCGTATGGTCCTTCCCAAGAAGTCTGCAGCTTCGGTGAATAACCACGACGGCGCTGAGGGTTGTATAACCAAACTAGGTCTCCAGGTTGAAATCCTCCATTTTCCGCCTTGATGTCGTATGCCTCTTTCATTCTATCACTGGCGCTCTGGATGTTTAAACGAACTCGGCTGTGAATGTCGCTCATTTTCCTACGTAAATTGTTGACGTAATCTTCTCCAGCAATATCATCCCCTGGTAGGCAACCAAACCTCAGGTCACAAGGTAGACGAAGTTCACGCCCCATAACAATGCTAGCGGGTGTCTGGCCGGTTGTATCGTGGATAGAAGAACGGTACGCCAACAGGAACAGATGAAGGAAGCGGTCCCAGTCTCTTTGGTGATCAGAGACTACCTTGGACAGGTACCGGTTTATCGTTCGATTCATTCGTTCTACCATTCCATCAGACTGCGGATGTAATGCAGTCGTCCTCGTCTTCCGAATGTTAAGAATTTTACAGACATTCTGGAACAGTATAGATTCAAAGTTCCTGCCTTGGTCTGAATGCATCTCCATTGGCACACCAAAACGACAAATCCACTCCTTAATAAGGGCATCGGCCACTGTGGCAGCTTCCTGGTTTGGCAAGGCGTACGCTTCCGCCCACTTGCTGAAGTAGTCCATTACAACGATGATGTATTTATTTCCAGATTCTGTTTCCGGAAATGGACCCGCCACATCGATTGCAATTCTCTCAAATGGGCTGCCCACATTGTACTGTCGCATTGGGGCTTTTGGGCGCTTCTGGGGTCCATTGCTTGCCGCGCAAACGGCGCACTTCTTGCACCATTCCTTCACATCTCGTTGGCTGTTGACCCAATAAAACCGTTCCCTAAGTCTTCCGAGCGTCCTGGTCACCCCAAGATGTCCTCCAGTAGTTCCATCATGGATTTCCTGCAGCACTTCTGGTATCCTATTTCTGGGGATTATTATCTGCTTCCGGTCTTCCCCCCCTTCTGGCAACTCCAGAACGCGCTTTAGAAGCCCGTCACTTAAGATGATGGAATTCCATTGGGCCCAGTACGATTTCACATTCGGCGAATATTGGGCGACTTCCTGCCACGTTGGTTTACGGTCGTTCTTCTTCCAATCGATAATAAGCTTCAAATCCGGATCCCTTTCCTGGTCTTGTTGAACCTCAGCGGATTGCCAATGATCATCCACGATTGTAGTTCTGCGAACAAACACATCCTTTTCTTCGACCCTGAGACAATGTTTACAGTCTTCCGGGCACGGTCTTCTTGATAAGGCGTCAGCATTTCTATGGATGGTCCCAGCCCGATGTTCTGTGTCAAAGTCGAACTCCTGTAGTCTCTCAATCCATCTTGCTACCTGTCCTTCAGGATTCTTGAATTGCAAAAGCCATTTTAGGGCAGCATGATCCGTTCTTAGCAAGAATTTTCTTCCATACAGGTACTTGTAAAAGTGTTCGACTGCCTTTACCACTGCCAACAGCTCGCGTCGAGTAACACAGTAATTTCGTTCTGGTTTGGATAAAGTTTTACTGAAGTATCCAATAACTTTCTCCTTTCCCGCTTGAATCTGCGACAAAACAGCTCCCAGGCCCACATTACTTGCGTCCGTGTCCAAAATAAATTCACCATCCGGAAGAGGATAACTTAAGACTGGTGAGCTGGTCAACGCGTTTTTCAGGTTCTTAAAGGCTTCTTGGCATTCTTCGTCCCATTGGAATCGTCTTTCTCCCTCTGTTAAACGTGTCAAAGGCTTAGCAACCTTTGCGAATCCAGGTACGTACCGCCGGTAGTAGGTGCATAATCCAAGAAAGCTTCTTAAGTCATGTTTGTTTTTCGGTACTGGCCATTCCCGCACCGTCTTCACCTTCTGTTTGTCCACTGCCACTCCTTGACTCGAAACAACATGGCCCAAATACTGCACTTCCCTCTGGAACAAGTGACATTTCTTCGGGCTTAGCTTCAGGCCGGAACTTCTTAAGCGCTGAAAGACTTCCTTCAGGTTCTTCATATGGTCCTCAAATGATTTCCCAACCACAATGATGTCGTCAAGGTACACCAAGCATGTCTTCCAGGATAGTCCCTTTAAAACCATTTCCATGAGCCTTTCAAAAGTTGCAGGGGCATTACATAGTCCAAACGGCATGACAGTAAACTGCCACAGTCCAGCACCCACGGTAAACGCCGTCTTTTCTCTATCTTCTGGTGCCATTTCAACCTGCCAGTAACCGCTTTTCAAATCCAGAGTCGAAAATATTTGGGATCCAGCCAATGTATCCAGGGTGTCATCGATCCTAGGTAGAGGGTAGCTGTCCTTCTTCGTCACGTTGTTCAGCTGACGAAAATCGACGCAAAATCGAGTTGATCCATCCTTTTTCTTAACTAACACCACTGGGGAAGACCATGGGCTGTTGGATGGTTCGATCACCCCTTCCTTCTCCATTTCTTGCACAATTTTATCAGCTTCCTCTCGCTTGGCAAGTGGTAGCCTTCTTGCCGACTGTCGAATGGGCTGTGCATCACCGGTGTTAATTTTATGCTGGACAATTCTTGTCCTACCCTTCTTTTCTTGTCCATCATCAAAGACGTCCTGATAGTTGTGTATCAGCTCTCTCAGCTTTATTCTCTCATTTGGTTTTAAGTCCTTTGAAGAAGTCGAAAGCAGAGTCGTCAATTCATTGCTAATTTTCTTGGCCGGAACTCCAGACTCACGAATGCTTCTAATAATTGAGGAAACTGAGGAACAGTTCCCCAAAACGATTCCTTTTTTCAAGTTCACAGAGTAACCATTAACATTCAATACTCTTACAGGCACTTCTTTTCCGACACGTATTAAAGTCTTCCCTACTACAACTCCTCGACCGACCTCTTTGTCATCAATTTTCGGCTCCAGAAGCATTATACTTCCATCTTCTGATTTACAATCCAAGAAAGCCTTCAATATCATCTCGCTGTGTTCCGGTATCAAAGCATCTTCTGTTAGCATTACACGAATATTCTTTTCTTTTGATCGATGCAACACGACTTCTTCTCCATTTACTCTCAATATTCCTTGTTGAAAGTTTAGTTCAAATCCTATAGAGTTCATAATGTCCATGCCTACAATAACTTCATCTTCAATATCTGCTACTAATGCTCGATGTTTAAATTTCGTGTTTCCTATGACCATAGTGATGTCCACTTCTCCATGAACAGTAGCAGTATCTCCTGTTGCAGTACGTAGTCGCCGATTGGTAGATTTTATTTTCGACTTTTCGACAATATCTGGCCGAATAATTGTCTTCGTTGCACCTGTATCCAGCAGCAGCACATGTAACTTTCCATTAATAAAGCCATCCACAAAAACACTGCTGGACTGATGTAGAAGAGATGCGACACGTTCGATATCCTCTGGGGCATGTTGGTTACAGGTCGACGGTTGCCCCTTTTCCTCGACCCTATCTAGTTTTCCGACTGAGATGAAGTCGGCACCTCCTGGCTTTTTCTGCAATGACTTCGTATATGTCCGAGCTTTCCACATCTCCAACACCGGATTTCCTTCTTTTCTGGTAGATTCTCTTTAAGGACTCGTCTGATTGCTTCAATTATACTAGGTTCCTCCTCCTTTTCTTCTTCGACTCTCCTTATTCTAGGCTGGCTCCTACAGCTCTGCTTTGCCGCCTCGAATTCCAAAGCTCGAGCTAATGCATCAACCAGTTGGCTCGGACGAGCCAGTGTTAGAGCCTGTCTTGTTTCGTTGTCTCGAAGTCCATCCAAAAAGGCTTGAACCGCTAATCGTTCCATAACGGTCGTTGGAGTAGCTGGATATGCTAGCCGGACCAAGCGTGCAATATCAGCCTCGAATTCTTGCAAAGTCTCGTTTGATTTCTGGCAGCGGTTCTTAAGTTGGGAATGGTAGACATGTTCCAAATGTGTCTGGCCATATCGAAGTTCCAGATGTTTAACCAACGCTTCGTAATCTTCTTGTTCGTTGGGAGAGAGTGTCTGCAAGATGTCCGTTGCATCTCCGCGTAAAGCCAGAGTCAATGCTGTAGCTTTTTCTTCTGGTAGCCAGCCATTTGCTTTTGCTGCTGCCTCAAACTGACGGATGTAGTTGGTCCAAGAAGTTTTTCCATCGAACTGAGGTGGTTTCATTCGAACTCGACTTCCCTCTGGCATTGTTCCTGGTTCCGCCAGCATCATAGGTAGATTTACAGCTGTCAGTTTACTATTTATTTCTTTAATTTTGACTTCCAATTTATCATCCAATTCCATCCTTACTTCATTCAATTCCATCCTTACGTTATTTAATTCCATCCTTACATCGTCAACTTTCTGTCCTACTTTCTCTTCTAATTCATTGACATTATCTAGAATCTTTCTGCTGCAGTTCGCTAGAATTTTCCAGCATTTTCTGTTGTAAATTGCTAGAATTTTCCAGCATTTTCTGTTGCAAATCGTCCTTTAAATCGTTGACATTTTCTAACATTTTCTGTTGTAAGTCGCTAGAATTTTCTACCATTTTCTGTTGTAAGTCGCTAGAATTTTCTACCATTTTCTGTTTTAAATCGTTAGAATTCTCCAACATTTTTTCGTTTAAATTTTGCAACATTAACTGCATATCACACGGGCCTTCAAATAAATACGTATCTGGATTTTCACCTTCCTGCTCCAACGCTTCTCGAAGCCGCTGCTGCAACACATTCTTTTTTCCAGTTGTTTCACATTCCCTTTCTTCCAGCTCCCGCTTAAGGTCCGCCACTTTTAAGTCCATTAACGAAACCATTTTCGCGAAATTTCACACTAATCCCACTTCTGACACCAATGTAACGTTTTTAACTGTTCGTAGTGTGAATTAAAACACGCACTGGTTAATTAACGAACTAAACTATTTATTTAATAACTTAACTACACTTAAAACACTATAAAACTAACTAAACACTTAACTACTAATTATTTATATCACTACTAGTTTATTTATTTGCACTTATATTTATTTATTTCGCCGCGAGTACCAAATCTTCACTAACTTGCTCTGTGCTGCTCCGTTTCTTATATATTACAGCACCAAGGTCTTCTGGAACATTCCAGCGAGCTCCACACTCTCGATTGTTCGAGCGCTGAGTCACCGGCGATGACTCATCGGCGATGACTAACCGGCGATGAGTCATCACTCCGATATCCAGAGCGGTACTCGCTACATTATGTTAACATAAGTGGTTCTGCACTAATGCAAGAATTTTAAGAAATCATACATTTTGAATATTAGAGCTTCACGGAAGATAGCTTCACGGAGGTTGGGATTTCGTATGTTTTTCTAAAAACATCCCTTTGTATATTTGAAATAAGTTATTGTATCTTTTGACACCTTAATATTTTTAAAAAACGCAATTGTGCATATATGTTTTATGTATACATAAAACATTTATAAAAAAACTACTTACTAAGATATTACACTTCACGGTGGGTAGGTTTTTAAATAACAAATTAATGAACTTAAACTTTTAAATTACAAAACAGCAACACTCTCATCTGCATATAAATTCTAACTGACCTTCAGGAAACCATTCATCTATAATGTCGTAAACAGAGGTTTTTGCTTATTTAAAATGATTAAAGTGCCATCCGTTGCATAAAATTTCAAGCAAAAACAGATTCACGGATGATAGAATCAATTTTTGTAACACCTACATAAATGGTTATAAAAATTATTTCTTTTAATTTTTAATAATATTTTATATTTGATTCGATTGCTTTGGATGTGTTTAATTTACTTACTAAGTAATACTTAGTGAATTGATATTTTTAGTATGCTCTTACTACCTCAGATATTTGAAAACATATAGGTTGAAATAGTCACGGAGGATAGGTTTTTAAAACATTGTAAAAAATAATTAATTGCGGTTAAAAATCTGAAACCTAAGCCAAAGATCAAAAGACTACTAACATTTTTTATTATTTCAGGACAAAACATCGCAGTAGGCGGTGATCATGACATGAGCGAAAGATACATAGAGCCCACGATAATAACAAACGCCAAACCGACTGATCCAATCATGCAAAACGAAATTTTTGGTCCGGTGTTGCCGATACATACGGTGAAAAACGCTCAAGAGGCTTTACAGTTCGTAAATTCGCGCGAAAAACCTTTGGCTTTGTACTGCTTCTCCAACGACAAACAAATAATCGATTTGTTTTTGAATAACACGTCGAGCGGAAATTTTTTGGCCAACGACGTCGTCATGCATTTCTCCTGCGAGACCATACCTTTCGGAGGAGTTGGCAACAGCGGAATAGGCAAGACATATTTTTTCTGTTCTGCTGATGTTTTAACATTTATTAAATATTTTTTTAATTTCAAATTTTATTGGTTTAAAATTTTCTCAAATGAAAATTTTAGGGTTACATATTTATAAATTTAAAATATTTTCAACTATCATGTTTTGAAAGAAAACATTTACTAATAACAGTTCACTTATGTACCTATTAAAAAATATTATTTCCAATCAATTTGTGCAAACCATCATTTTTTAATAATTTTAAGTAGGTATAATTTATTTGGGCAGAATTTTGTAAATCTTAATCTTATTTTTATTAAATTGGTAAGGTCACATTTTTTTAGTATTTAAAAATAAAAACACATATTAACCTTTTTCTACCAAAATAGTTTAAAAAGTTAATTTTTTTAAACTCAAAACAATTGATAATAAAAAAATATTTTAAATATAAAATGTAAAAGTTTAGTTTTTATTTTACACAATTATTGGTTTAAATTTGTACCACTTTATTACGTTTTGAAAGACAACATTTACTAACGAACAGTTCAGTTCTGTATTAAACAATATTATTTCAAATCAATTTTTGCAAATATTTTTAACTATCATTTTTTAATAATTATAATTTTTTAGGTATAATTTATTTGGGCAGAATTTTGGAAATCCTTAATAATTTTTTTAATTAATTTTGTAAATCTTAAATAATGTTTTTTTTATTATTTTTATTAAATTGGTAAGGTCACATTCTTTAGTATTTAAAAATGGTGTCGAGACATTTAAAATAAAAACACATATAAAACTTTTTCTACCAAAATAGTTAAAAAATGTTAATTTTTTTTAAATCAAAACAATTGATAATCAAAAAAATATTTTAAATATAAAATGTAAAAGTTTAGGTTTAACATATTGGTTTTTAAAATTTGTAGTTTTAATATTTTATTTTACAAAATTATTGATTTAAATTTGTAAAGAGTCATTTAAATGAGAGTCGATAAATTTGTAATACAAAAATTCTCACATTACATTTTTAAGTTAATTTTAAATGACTCTTAAGAAATTTAAACCAATAACTTTAATTTTTAAAAAATTTACTTTGATAAATTTTTAATACAAACATATTCACATTACATTTAAATGTAAGTCGATAATTTTTAATTCCCAAAGTGTAAACGCTGCTTTAGCTGACTGCATATGTTGCAAACTTCGCGCTTTGTACGTTTCACTGACTATGGACTACGATTAAAGCCTAATTTATAGATTGCCTTCCTTCCTTCCTTCCTCCCGTAGAAGATGAACAATACAAAAACCGTGCAGTTTAAAGATTCCCGTACCGAAATCTATAAATGGCACTACGATTTTTGTATTGTTAATCTTTTACGGAAGAAAGGAAGGAAGGAAGGCAATGTATAAATTAGGCTTATAATTGACCACTTTAGAAAGAGGCAGCGTACGCCGTCTGCTAAAGCTACGTTTACACTTTGTAGATTAAAAAATATCGACTTACATTCAAATTTTTTGTTAAAAATGTATCAATTTAAAATTGTTAAAAATAAAAAAGTCATTTAAATTTTTAATTAAAAAAAAAATTAGTTACATTTAAATGTAATGTGAGAATTTTTGTATTAAAAAATTATCGACCATCATTTAAATGACTCTTTACAAATTTAAACCAATAATTTTGTAGAATAAAGTATTTTAAATTTTTTTTTTAAAAATCAATAGGTATTTTTAAGCTTTTTATTTTTACAGTTGTATTTTATATTCGATAGTTATTTATGTATCAAGGCAGTAAAGTCGTATTTTTTTATCACGAATGTGGAAATTATTTGCCGAGGCGAAAGCCGAGGCAAATAACTACGTGAGTGATAAAAATGACTTGAATGTTATTTGAATGTAGGAAGTGTCTACGTATACTGTTTGTTGCGATGGTTATGATATATTTGCCCGCCGCGGCGATTTTTTAATCTAATTAATAAAATTAACTTATTATTTTTATTAAACAACATTTTATGAAAGGGTCCAATCAACTTCTGCGACGGTGCTTTCTTTAAATATTATTTAGTTGCTGCTGAGGAGCAGTAGACACATCTTAAAATGTATAATGGGTTGCATACAATACTCGTATTAAATCGGCAGTAAAGTTCTACTTTACTGCCGATTTCTCTTACTTCTGCCGATTTCGGATAAAATATTTTTTGACTATCAAGTTTAAAAATTTAAGTTTGTAAATTTCTGTTAAAACATAATTAAAGTCATTAAATTTAAACTATTATCTAATAAATGCTAAAAGTGCGTGCCATATTTTAACTATTGTTTTTAGGTTCATATCACGGTAAATTTGGTTTTTACACTTTCTCGCATAAAAAAGGTTCGATGCTGAGGTCGATAAACAAAATGGGGGAGATGATGCAGGGTATGAGATACCCGCCCTACACGGAAAACAAATTGCAAACGATTTTGACAGCTATCAAGAAACGTCCACCAATCCCAGGCGTGAAATACTTAAAGAGCGGGATTATTTTTGCTTTGGGATTTATGGTTGCTGTAGGAACAAACTGGTTGTTGCTAAGCAAGGATAAAAGAGGTCATTAATTTTTTGTTTTTTGTGTTTGTTTTTGGTAATTAAATAAATATTTTTGTTACTCTGGAATTATTTTATTTATTTTTATTTTACTTTCATTTATATGTTTGTAAAATTTGCAGAAATTCGAAGCTCTGGCTTTCGATTTTTCCACGCTTATTTCCTCATCAAGTTTGTTGTACTCTAAATCAGGTTGTTCTTTTATCACGTAGTTGTAGATAATTTGGCATACAAAAAACACAAAATCTTCTTTTGTTTTGTACGGAATATTTTCAAAATTTAACATTTCTCCATTACTCGATCTAATTTTACTATTCATGTTAAAACAGTTCAAGCAAAAACATTGCTGAGAAATTTCGGAAAATGTGCAACATTTCTTCAGGTCTGTATCGAAAAAGCTATCTTTTATGGCAAACATCTCTTTCACTAAAAATATGTAAATAATATACCTTTAAATGTTAACCCAATAAAGTATACAGCGTGTCCCAGAACTTGCTTCACAAAGTAAATTTCTAGGTAATACTGTATTATTTTCTCTGTGGCGCGAGTTCTGGGACACCCTGTATATATAAAGCTACAAATTTTTAAAATTTTATGGAAATTGAACAAAAAGTTTTTGTGTGACATAACGATTCGTTATTAACGAATATTGGCTAAAAATCGTTTTTTATAAACATGATTAAATGAGTAACTTTTTTAATTAGCAGGGCCGGCCCAAGGTACGTGCGAGCCCGGCAATCGCATTGAGTTTTTACTTATCATTAATACTCCAATTTTATTTTCAGATGCCCAAATAATATTTGTTTTTTAAAATTTGAACGAATTTAATTGATTTTTTAAGCCTAAAAAGTTAATCATGGAATAATAATTACACTAGTCAACGGCAAAAAAATGTCGGTAATAAAAATAACTCAGTCCTATGGATTTTGACCTGCTCGACGCAAATCTGGCGCCCAAAATATTTTGTAAGGTCTGGTTTAGACGATACGGGTAGCACCCATGAAAAATTGTTAAATAATAAGTTGAACGATAAAAATCAGAAAACAAAATAATTTGAACCATAAAAAACAGTAAACACCATAAAACATGAGTTAAATACCACATAATAAACCAAAACACACGGAAAATGGTGTGTCTATGCAATAAATGGTACCAAAATACTGTGCTCCCATTTTTTATTTACAAGCAATCGAAAAATTCTATTTTTACCCAATACCTTAAAAAAAGTTAAAATTTGTTGCATTGTGTTATTCATAAAATCATGAAATAAAGAAGTGGCTATAATTTATAAATCTCTGAGAATCTATTTTTATAAAAAATTAAGTTTTTTTCTACAATTTGTTAACTTTCAAGGCGTATCAATAAATACTACATAGTGATTATCACAGTTTATGTGATAAAAATTACTAGAAAACCAAATAAAAATTTAAAAAACTAAAAACTGTTTTGTTCCTGCTATATAAAAAGGGGGTAGAAAAATGTCCTTGCCCGGGGCGACAAAATACCTCGAGCCGGCCCTGTTAATAAGGACCCATTACCAATCATTATAATTTATAAATATACAAAAATCCCAAAAATTTCGTATTACTAATTTTTTTTTTTTTAAATTTTGTTAGAACTAATATTTTTTTATTGTTTTTTCTTTTCTAAATGTTATATGCAATATGGCGTCAAAAATTGGAAATATAAGAAAATATAAAATAAGAATAAATAAAAAATAAAAATAAGGGGAGAAACAAGGAACGTTACCTAACGTGGGAACATATACATAACTGTGGAACTTTTTTTAATTTTTTATGCATGTACTCGTATACTGTATAGTGTCCTCAGATTGAGTTTACAAGAGGGAAAAAATGTTTTTGGTGTTTAACACTGACCAAAAAAATGGGATTTTATTTATAGGGTGTTTAAAAATTAGGAAAACTCTGGTAAACTTAATCCAGGGACATACTGTATAAAAGGATTGAAAATAGAAAAAAAGTTCTAAACACGTTAAAAAAAATGTTAATAAAAGTTTTGATAATTTAAAGCAAATTGGCTGCTAACCAGTGAAATGGGAGTTTACCTTGGTTATGTATTGTATTTTAAAATATAAACAAAAAACCGCGTGGTGTTGAGTAAGCTATTTTTGGGACACCCTGTACCTTTAGCCAAATCTTTGTTCTTTTCCTTAGTTTTCTTGTCCGTTATTTTGCTAGACTTCTTTTTACTGCAATATAAAATTATTGATACTTTTATAATATCAGCAAAAATATGTTACCCATCCTTGAAAAAGTCTTGATATTCTCTTATTTTATCCGAAACATCTCCCTGATTCATCAAAGTGTTCATTTTATTAACAATTTCTGTAATTCGTTCAAAAATCATCAAACTTCTTTCTATACTTGGAAAATCCTCTAAATTGTTCGCTATATCTCTATTGAGTTTTCCATTAATACTAAAATACTCCACTATTATTGGGTTTATGGCGTTACTGACAATATCTTTAAACTCCTTTATTTTAAATGTTGTTTTATGGTCTCCAAAATAACTTATATGCTCTTTGAGAACTATTCCAGATTCTAAATCTGGACTTGGTGTATTCATCAAGTTTTGTATTTCATCGTAAATATCAAAGGTTTGTGTGTAAACTGATTTTGATATTGTTTCTGAAAGACATTAATTAGTAGTAAAATTCGCAAATAAATCGATGCATTCTAAAATGGAGCGAGTACCCAATATTACCATTTTCGGGTTGATTTGTTTTTATAAGAGTATCACAGAGATGCAGAAGGCTTTCAGGATAATGTTTCAAGTCATTTACTTCCTCAGATTTCCTATTTGTATCACCAATATTTTCTGTAATTATTGTTACCTCAAGATTCTTAAAAAATACTGCTTCAAAATCATTTTCAATTTATATGAATTTATTTCGTACCTTTCTTACGCAAATCAATGAGTTTAAAAATGTCTTAAATTTAGAAGATTTTTTAATTTTCTGTGAATAACTTGTCATCGTCAGTTTTTAAATTGACATTTGACATATTAAGAATGTACCAACATTTAAAAAATCGATTTTGATTTCCATGGAAGACCCTGAAGATGACAGCCAAATAAACGAAGAAAAATGATATTCCCCCACAAAATAAACACCAACAAAAATATACAGACCACTTAAGAGGGCCGAAAACACGCAAATTTACTTAAGGGTAGCAAATGAAAATAAAGCTGCTTTTAGCAAAACCGCGTAAAATTGTGATAAATCGTGACCCTATGTCTCCCCCCACTCCACCGTGCACCTGTCCATCGCCTGCTACTTTAAAAGAACGCTGCGTTGCCAGATATACCATAAAAATACTAGGTTTGGTTACGATTATGACCTAGGCACTAAAAATGATTTTGACCAATCGGTTTGGGTTATGTACAGCCTAGGCTGTAAAAATTCATCATCTATTACTTTGGATCAATCAAAAAATTCGACTCCTGTCTGATCTATCCAACCTCACTTTATACTTTCAATAATTATTATTATTTATGTATCAGTTAACAAATAAAATTGTTAAAGACATTAACAACTATTTGGCGGAAAATTTTAATTATTGTGTTTAGATACAGTACCCAAAAAATAATAAAAAAAAAACAAAAATAAAATGCAATTTTTTTTTAATTAAACAAATAAACGTCATTCTGCACTTTTTCAAAAATAAACAAAAAAAATCGTTTTAAAATGAATATTAAAAGTAGAGACATGTTACTTGGATTTTCTTTGTGCAAATAAGTTTGGCAGCGCTGTAAAGCTAGCGTATGGAAGAGATGTGAAGTGAGCCGCCCGGTTAGTGTTTTGTTTTGCCTGTTCCAAGGCAGAGTTGACGTGGGTAAAGTGTTATTTTTCAGTGAAAAACTTCGGTATTTCGATTTCGAGGTGTTTAATCAGCGTTTTTAGCCTAACTTTATGTGGGTGTTTTTCGTCGAGTTTTAGTGGTGAGTTTTTTAGTTTGGCATGATTTATTTTCAAAAATTTGGATTAGTAGATCAGATTGTCGATGTCTTTTACCGTGTGTTTATTTTTTGTTTTAAATGACAAAAATAAATGAAGGTAGCAAAATAAATTAATTTGGATTATTTTGTTTTAATAGGTTTGGATTTGTTAATGTTTTGTGTAATTTTAAATATACATAATATGTAGATAGTTAAGGAAATTGACATTTCGTAGTAAAAATAATTTAAGTAAATTGGCTTAAAAGTAAAAGGTATACCCTCCAACGTAATTAATAAGTGGTAAATTCAAGTTTTTGAAATCTACATATTATTTAACATTATTTTAATAGGTTTATACTTAACAATTAATCTAATTTTAAAAACTCATTTACATTTTTTTATTATTTTTTAACACACACACACCAGAAATCATTTATAATACATTAAAAACAAGTTTCCAAAAAGAACTAGTTCTTAAATAAATGGCAAAGTTTTTTTAATTAATTAATCTCAAATTTTACGACCAATATTCAAGGTCAGTATTGTCAAAATTTCTTAACAAAAATGCTTATATTTTCCTTATTTATTAAAAAATAATTACCAGAATAAAACAATTAGTATTTTCACATTAACATTCCGTAATGTTACTCAATTCTACAGGAAATTCAAACCGAAAATAACGACTTTCCAACGTCATTTGACATATGTCATTTTGACAGGTCGTATTTCCAAAACAAAATATGTGATTTGTGACTTGAAACACATGTTGTTTCATTGTTAATTTTGTTGGGTCATTCACTCATAGACGCGCCAAGTTCATAGAACAAATAATTAAATAAATTAACCGAATGCACTGAATGATTTTATTTAATGTTTTCAATTTTTTATCACGCTCTCCTAACAAATTTGTTTGTTGTGTATAATCCATGCGCTTTTTAAACATTTCCATGGCCACTGGGTGACATTGTAATATACATTTTCAATATCGATGATTATTTTATAAACAGTGCAAAATAACTCAAACATTTTAAGAGAGAAGTACCTATCTCAATAAACACCCTGTATATAAACTTTAAATTTGGGTTAAAGTTTGAGTAAGTCAACAGGAAAAACATACTAAAATGTCAACTTTCTAACTCCACCACATTTCGATAAATTGTCATTTTTAATCTGTGGGCGCCAATTTGTAAGAAAATATCTTAGGACACATATCAAAAACAACTCTGTACACGAACTTCTTAACATTAAAAATTTTGATTTTATAGGTTGGCTATACTTTAAACAGCATAATATTTTGCATATTGGTTATAATATTTTTATGATTTTTCTAGTACTTACGAGACTTTTCTGGCAATAAATTTTTTTTAACACCAAAGAAAATCCTTTTTTTTCTTTTTTGACATTAACAGCCGCTTATTGTAAATTAGTAAATTAAGGACGGCATGGCGAATCGATTTTGACATTAACTGTCAAACCAATGACTGAGATACCAACTATCTAAAGTAAAATTCGACCAAATTAAATTTAAGGTATAAAATTATTTTTTTTTATAGAAATTTTGCAAAATAGATAAAATAGCATAAATATCATAAAGAACTCATGTCATAAGACCTTTTGTCGCACTCGACCATTACTACATGAGTTCTTTAATATACTATTGTTAGGAAAATATTTTATCCTTTGATTTTTATAAATATATTTAGTATACTTTAAATATTAAAATATGTAACTTCAAAATATAATTTTGTGAACAAAATATTTTATTCTTCGATTTTTTAATTACTATAATTGCAAAATATTATGACGAAGTATTAAAAATTCTTACACGGGAAATGTTAAAGGTACAAAAAGTGACAGTTGTATTTATTGGAATTCCCATTAGAATTTCTAACTTGGGAATCTACCGTCGTTAAAATCTCAAATTTTTCTGTGTAAATCAAAATTTACCCCTTGAAAATAGAATCAGTTTTTACAGTAAAGGAGAAGAGAATGTTTTATGGGCACTGTACGCAAATTTGTTAACGCTTTATCAGTTAAATCTAAACGTTCATATAATCTTTTTAAAAATTGGCGTCAAAAAACTATTTAATACTTTTGTATTTTTGTATTGAGATAATAAAATAATTTTCACATTTAAACCACCCTGTATATACTATTCAAATTTAAGTTAAAGTTGAAGTATGGATATTTTAAAAACTTACTAAAATTTTAACTTTGCAACTGCACTACTTTTTGAGATATTGCCATTTTGTTGTAAACTGTAAAATAAAACTTTGAACCTTATAAGTTATATAGTTTTGATGTTATACGCAATAGTGAAAATAGTGCTTTTCTATTGATTTTTACCTAAACACAAATAAACGCGACCCTTTATTTGTATGGTAAGATTAAGATCAACACTATAGGTAATTGGATTTGGTATTTACGGTATCCTCAAATGAAAATTTTTCCTGTACGCATTTGTTGATACTTTTAATAACCTTATAGTCAATTAGACAATTAAAAATAAGATTGATATGACCCTGGAAAAAATATGGTTAATTTTTTTAACAGACTTTGTCAATAGGTCAATGAATGATTTAAAACGTAAATTTGTTTTCAAAAATTAAAACAAAGCATTCAAAAGTAAATATTGAATGATGAAGACAACATGTTGTGTATTGACACATTCAGAGATATCTGTATCATTTTATCTCGACTTCTTTCACCTGTTTGGAAATTAGTCACGAAAAAATGCATTTCACCCTATGACTCAAGCTACTTAATATACAAATCTTCCTATGAGTCATGCACGCACCGGAGGGATTCTTGGCCTAAATACCAAAAAAACAAGACGAATAATTTGTGGTTTGATTGACAAACGCGCTTAATTAGGCTCGAGTTTTTATATAAAGGGCCCGATTCAGACCCTTGCGCAACACCGGATTTTCGCCTGATGTGATGAAAATATGGTTAATTTAGGAATCATAGAGTTTGTGGTGTTTCATAGATGACCAGTTGTAGTGAAAGATGTATATTCATGCTATATTATGCAAGATTTAATACGAAAAGGAAATTATTTTAATTATAAGTTTTTCTAATTTTGTTTTTTAATCTTTCCAAATCAGTTGTCTTTATAAACTTGTTGTTTTATATTGCACCAAAAATAAAAATCCATATTTTTTTTTCAATACCCCTACTTTTAATATTAACGTCGCTTCTAGTAATTTTCAAAAAGTACCCTATTTTTACAAACCTTTTTGTAGACCCAGCAACAAAAGTATTTGTTGGAAATTGGGAAATAAAATGAAAAGAATTTTAATAGGAAACCAAAAAAATTAACGCATTAAACAGACAATTAAATAACACACCATTCTGAAATCATCAAATTATAGAAAAAAATTGATACAATAGAATTATCAGTACTACTACTACTTAATTTAAGTAAATATTTTGTTAATTTACTTTTAAGTAAAACTTTTTTAAAAGTTATTTAATAAGTTTTATTTATGTTATTTTTACCTATTTTTATAACCCTTAAGTTTCAACGCTTTAAAGTATTATGAGGAAAGTAATTTTTACGAAAGAAAATTACTTATACATAAGTGAATTTCATCTAAAGGAAAATTTAACGCTAATTTTAACGACAGAATTTCTACTTAATGGGAAATGTTACTCATAAGTCATAATTTTACTATATTAAGACCACTTTATAACCGTATAATAATAATTCCTATTCGCCTGGTATTTTTTAGGGTTATGAGTGGTAATAAATACTATTAATATTGACTAAACAAGGAAAAATAAGCTTAAAGTGAAATAAAAAACTTTAAGGGAATTTTTTTTTCAGGTCGCCTTAATGAGTTTTTTAAGATGGCATCCATTACTTATCTAAACATTTTTATAATATTTTTTCATAAATATTTTTCTAAAATATAATAAGGAAAGTTTTAGTTATTAATAAATGATTAAAACTAAATGATTTTTAAAAGATTTTATAAAATTTTGTAGGTTTTAAGTTTTGTTGAATTTTTAACCAAGCAATAATTTTTCTTAAAACAGTAAAATATTTAGAGGGCATTTATTTAAATTAAGTTATATTTTTTAATTTTACTCTAGGGTGGCCTTTATTACTTTGTAAGTACCATTTTGTAAAATATAAATTAAAATAACAAACAAATTACGAATCTCAATGTTTTAGAAAGAGAGAGCAAACAGTTAGTAATTATGGCGTTATTTTTACGTAAATTTGTCCTATTTAGGTATATTGTTTTTATTACGTTATTCTCTTAGTAGATCAATGCTTATTATGTAGGTAAAATTACGAAATAAACCAAACCATTCCCCAAATTTGGTAATTTTTCGTATCTATACCGTTATAAAACCGTTTTGGTTAACCTTTACAAAACTTTCGATAAAATATTTACCTTTTTTAAAATAATTACAAACGCAGGTTTTCTACAAAAAAATATGTTAAAATTTTACAAAATAAAAACAAATCTGACCACCCCTTGGTTGGTAATTTGCTGGGAATATTTATTTTTATAATTATAAACAATCATTAGTAATGTAACTAAGAATACATTATATCGTGTCTTTTTTATGTTAAATAATTATTATATTAAAAGTCATGGCCAATAAATTGTCGCCTGAGGCTTTTATTTTCATTTTTCCATTGTGTCGCACTATTACTTCTATTAATTGGAAAACCATAAGCAATACAAGTTTGTTTTTAATGTTATTTTCACAATAATAACAATGTTAGCCAATCAAATAAAAAATAACTGTTTTGTTCACACAATGATTAAGAAAACTACCTACCTACCTACATAATACCTACTTATAATCTATATTTATATTTTGAGTTTGTTTACCCATCCCATTATAATTTATTTATAAATACGTTACCATAATTATTATTATTTTTAAAATAACTGTTTATTTACATAACATCGGTCTTATTGCCTTTTTAGGACAGATTAATTCCAAACAAACTATATTATTTGTAAACAAAATCAAAAGTG